TACATCGGTTAGCTATATATAACATCTGTCAATATTGGCTCCAACTGAATCGCTACTTTGTTCAAGTAGTTTTCCGTTACCTATTTGCTTTTTCCTGCGTACAGGACCTATAGCTTGCTAGCCCATTTGCTACCAGCCTACAGCCGTTGGCCGTCAACAATCTCGTCAACTCCCTGCCGTCAGCTGGCCACTAACATTGGACACCCTCGTCTCTGCACAACACAGCTACCAACAGTTTCTTAGCTGTCCCGGTGCGGAAAGCCCTAGTAGCCGTGACCTCTACCTCTACAGCTAGCCAACCTCCAGTCACCGGGTGGCTGCATGCTAACGCTAGCATTGGACCGTTCTCCTTCTTTTCGTCTCTTAGCCTTCATTCCACAGACTGAAACTTCGCTACTCATCCCGATCACCTGCCACGATGTGTGCTTTCCTGCTGTCTGACATGAATCCTCTCAAGAGGTTCGTTGTGAGCTGCATCCTTCCCGGCCGACATGACTCTGTCATACTCCATCGCGGAGCTACTCCAGCTAAAGCACACATCCACTCCACCATGCCCGACGATGATCTCCGCCATCAGTGAACATGGACTGCTACAACGACCCAAATACATTCACCGAAGCTCCGGACGAAAGTGTGTTTACTCCCTGTCCGGTCATTCCATCTCATCCATCTGGTCTGCTGCGCGCACTGACACACCCCCTCCATTTCATCATCACAACAACCAACACGTGCACTCTGCCTGCCTACGCCCCCTTCCCAAAGCACCCCAGCCTGTTCAAACTCAACCTCATCTTAAACTTGCTCTGTTTAACACCCGGTCTCTAAACAACAAGGGTCTCATTCTCAATTCATCACTGACAATAATCTGGACTTTCTCTGTATCACAGAAACTTGGCAAAAACCACAGGAATACTTCTCCCTCAACCAGACAACACCCCCAGGATACACATATATTGAAAAACCACGCCACCATGGGCGTGGAGGTGGAATTGTCACAATTCTAAGAAATAATATAAAAACAATTGCAATAAACATCCCTTGCCCCTCCTCATTTGAACAACTTGCATTTAAACTGTCTGGTCCAAAGACCCTGGTTACAGCAGTCATTTACCGTCCCCCCAAACCAAACCCTGCTCTCCCCTCGGATCTTGCTGAATTCCTCACACAACTCTGCTCCATCTCTCCATCTGTGTTATTACTTGGTGATTTCAATATTCATGTTGACTCAAACGACTCCAATACCACTACAGAACTCCTGGACATACTCTATCAACATGTTGATTTTCCCACCCATAAAAAAGGTCACACACTGGACCTGATCTGCACCATTGGCATCGCCATCAGCAACCTGACCACCTATGACCTCACCATCTCCGATCACCTGGCCCTCATCATGGACATCCTAACCCCAACCCCCCTCATCAAGCAGAAGCGCACCATACAATTCCGGAATATCAAGTCCATACACCCCTCCTCCCTGACTCCACCGTCACCCAGAATGTTTCCCCTACTGACCTGGTCAACACCTACAACAATGCTCTCTCCTCCTGTCTCAACCAACTCGCTCCAATAAAAACCAAGTATGTCTCTTTCACTCACTCGGCCCCCTGGTACACCGATCATCTCCTTTGCCTCAAACCGAAAGGTCGCCAGCTCGAAAGACATGCTAAACGAACTGGTCTCACTATCCACAAAGACATTTATAGACTGCACCAACAGCAGTACAAAGACAGTGCACGCTCCTTCCACTACTCCTCTGTAATACAATCTGGCAGCAATAACCCAAAGTCCCTTTTTTCAACTATTAACAAGCTCCTCAATCCCATGGATAATATCTCCAACTCCTTCACCACCTCAAAGTGTGAATCCTTCCTCTCATTCCTCCAAAACAAAATTGAAATAATACACAGCAACACAGCCAACTCCTCTGTCTCGTCCACCACCCATCCTTTTCCGGAACCTGCCTACCCTCCTCCTTCCAGGCACCCTTTTACAGCTTTCAGACAAATTACCTCACTGGACATAGTTGCCCAAGTCACCGGCATGAATACCTCAACTTCCATCCTGGACCCCATGCCCTCCACCCTTGTCAAGGCCTGCCACCCCCAACTCACTCATCTTATCACCACAGTCATTAACTCCTCTCTGTCCATTGGACTCGTCCCCCCTGCTCTGAAACTTGCTGCTGTCACTCCCATAGTAAAACAACTTGGTCTCAACCCTGATTCCCTCAATAACTACCGGCCCATCTCTAACCTCCTATTCCTGTCAAAAATTCTGGAGCGAACTGTTGCCTCCCAACTAAAATCCCATCTGGACTGCAATAACCTTCATGAACCTTTTCAATCTGGTTTCCGTACTCGCCACAGCACAGAATCTGCCCTACTCATGGTGACCAACGACATTCTCTCTGCTGACTCTGGTTCCCTCTCAATTCTCATTCTCCTTGACCTAACAGCCGCATTTGACATGATCAACCATTCCATCCTCATCAACCGCCTCCAGTCTTCCATTGGCATTACCGGTACTGCCCTCTCCTGGTTTAAATCCTATCTCTGACAGACATCAATTCATCTCCATTAACAAATCCCCCACAGCCCCCGTCAATCATGGCGTCCCTCAGGGTTCTGTACTTGGTCCCCTTTTGTTCATCATCTACATCCTCCCAATTGGAAAAATCCTCCGTCAACACCAACTCCAGTTTCACTGTTATGCTGATGACACGCAGCTCTACCTCTCAACAAAATCAAATTCTCCAACCACAGACTCCCAGCTCAGCACCTGCCTCACTGACATACAAATTTGGATGCAAAACAATTTTCTAAAACTTAACTGTGACAAATCGGAACTTATAATCATTGGCCCAAACTCACTTACCTGCTCAACCCAAGATTTTTCTATGACCATCGATGGCTCCATTGTCAACCCCTCCACTCACATCCGTAACCTTGGCATCATCCTCATCCTCACTTTCCTCCCTCACGTCAACCAGGTCACAAAAAAACGCTTTCTTCCATTTAAAGACCATCGCCCCGCATCAGACCCTCCCTCTCATCAGACCCTCCCTCTCATCAGACCCTCCCTCTCATCGACCGCTGCTGAAACTCTGATCCATGCCTTCATAACATCCTGACTGGATTACTGCAACAGCATTTTGGATCAGCTGCATTCATACTAAAACAACTACTTCAATATGTCCAAAACTCAGCTTGCTCACCTCCACCCGACGCTCCGACCACATCACCCCCATCCTCCATGACCTCCACTGGCTCCCCTCACTCCCATCCTCCATGACCTCCACTGGCTCCCCTCACCCCCATCCTCCATGACCTCCACTGGCTCCCCTCACCCCCATCCTCCATGACCTCCACTGGCTCACCTCACTCCCATCCTCCATGACCTCCACTGGCTCCCCTCACTCCCATCCTCCATGACCTCCACTGGCTCCCCTCACCCCCATCCTCCATGACCTCCACTGGCTCACCTCACTCCCATCCTCCATGACCTCCACTGGCTCCCCTCACTCCCATCCCCCATGACCTCCACTGGCTCCCCTCACCCCTATCCCCCATGACCTCCACTGGCTACCCTCACCCCCATCCTCCATGACCTCCACTGGCTCCCCTCAGTCCCATCCTCCATGACCTCCACTGGCTACCCTCACCCCCATCCTCCATGACCTCCACTGGCTCCCCTCACCCCTATCCCCCATGACCTCCACTGGCTACCCTCACCCCCATCCTCCATGACCTCCACTGGCTCCCCTCAGTCCCATCCTCCATGACCTCCACTGGCTACCCTCACCCCTATCCTCCATGACCTCCACTGGCTCCCCTCAGTCCCATCCTCCATGACCTCCACTGGCTACCCTCACCCCTATCCTCCATGACCTCCACTGGCTCCCCTCAGTCCCATCCTCCATGACCTCCACTGGCTACCCTCACCCCTATCCTCCATGACCTCCACTGGCTACCCTCACCCCCATCCTCCATGACCTCCACTGGCTACCCTCACCCCCATCCTCCATGACCTCCACTGGCTCCCCATCAAACACCGCATTGACTTTAAAATATTACTTTTCACTTTCAAAGCCCTCAACAACCTTGCCCCCCCCCCCCCCCCCCCCCCCCCACCCCCCCCCCCCCCCTACCTCTGTGACCTCATCCAACAACACACCCCCACCCGTCGCCTCAGGTCTGCTGAAGCTAACCTACTGCAGCCCATCAGGACAAAGCTCCAGACCTGGGGGGACAGGGCCTTCGCTGCAGCCCCCCCTCACTCTGGAACTCCCTCCCCAGCCACGTCAGATCCGCCAAACAATACCTCAAAACTCATCTTTTCACTCTTGCCTTCAACTCCTAATCCACTAACCCCTTGCCCTTATTCCTCCTAGCTTAGCACTTTCTACTTTTGTTGTTATTTTTGTTTTACTTGCTTGTAAGCGCTTTGAGCACCAGGACAAGCGCTTTATAAATGTAATGTATTATTATTATTATTTGGGTGCATTTTCCATATCTCCGGCCCCCCTTGGTCGATTTTGATGGTTGACATCTCTTTGTAACCGTTAGAGCCAATAGAATCGAGGGGAAGTTCCTAAATCCAACTACACGTTACCAAATAAGGAGTGATAGTGATGCGCACGCAGCTTGCCCAAACCGAAAGCTATGTTACGCTCTGAAAACTGAAAACTGATAAATATGAGGATGGATTATCAATAATCATTTCAAAGTGACAGACACATTGGATTAACCTATGGATTAACCTTCAGCAGCGTTTTATCATTTTAATGCCATTGAACACAACTTTTGATCAGAAAATTCAGTTTCGAAAATTTACCGATTTTGCTCCGTAAAGCTATGTCGTGTGATGTCTGGGTTTGCTTCCCCTGCCGCGAGTTTTGATCACGCAGTGATGATACTAATACCTTCAGAATCTGTTTTTGATTTGAGCTTAAATCTAAATTATTAAGAACTTTATATTTTCCATCTGTCGTCGCTCACCTGGATTTGTTCAAAAGTCACATCGAAGGTGAAGGACTCGTTGTAATACGGGTTCAGCGTTCTCTTCTTCATCGACGTCTTCCTCTTCTTCCACTTCCTCTTGTCCAGAGCCAGCTGCACCTTCACGTATGGGTCTGCAATAAACACAAAACATTATTAAACTCGAGCGTAAAACAGTTTGAATGAACTGAAAATGTGTTCAAAAAGATAAATAAATGATAAAGCTTTACTTGTCCCGGGAGAGGCTGTAAGTACAAAGAACAACAGAGAATGCATTTATCTTTTTAAGTCAAGTCAGTGTTATTTTTGGATTCACACCTTCAGTTAATCATTATTCGTTGTAGTTTTAATTTGTTAACTGAGAGGCCTTGATGGGAGGGCTGACAGATTGCATTAATTTGTAGCCTGGTGACATGTAAATGTATTTAATATAATATAATAATAATAATCGTTAAATAATATATGTATTATTACAGCAGGTTAAGTATTTTAAAAATAGCATTAAAAAGAAATTAAATTGTTATTTATTTTATTTATTTATCTGAAGTCCCTTCTCAAGTCCCTTCTCAAGTCCCTTCTCAAGTCCCCTCTCAAGTCCCTTCTCAAGTCCCCTCTCAAGTCCCCTCTCAAGTCCCTTCTCAAGTCCCCACTCAAGTCCCCACTCAAGTCCCCTCTCAAGTCCCTTCTCAAGTCCCTTCTCAAGTCCCTTCTCAAGTCCCTTCTCAGGTCCCTTCTCAAGTCCCCTCTCAAGTCCCCTCTCAAGTCCCCACTCAAGTCCCCACTCAAGTCCCCTCTCAAGTCCCTTCTCAAGTCCCAACTCAAGTCCCTTCTCAGGTCCCTTCTCATGTCCCTTCTCATGTCCCTTCTCAAGTCCTTACTCAAGTCCCTTCTCAAGTCCCTTCTCAGGTCCCTTCTCAGGTCCCTTCTCAAGTCCTTACTCAAGTCCCTTCTCAAGCCCCTCTCAAGTCCCTTCTCAAGTCCCCTCTCAAGTCCCTTCTCAAGTCCCAACTCAAGTCCCTTCTCAAGTCCCTTCTCAGGTCCCTCCTCAAGTCCCTTCTCAAGTCCCTTCTCAAGTCCCTTCTCAAGTCCCTTCTCAAGTCCCTTCTCAGGTCCCTTCTCAGGTCCCTTCTCAGGTCCCTTCTCAGGTCCCTTCTCAGGTCCCCTCTCAAGTCCCTTCTCAAGTCCTTTCTCAAGTCCCTTCTCAAGTCCCAACTCAAGTCCCTTCTCAGGTCCCTTCTCAAGTCCCTTCTCAAGTCCCTTCTCAATTCCCCTCTCAAGTCCCTTCTCAAGTCCCTTCTCAAGTCCCTTCTCAGGTCCCTTCTCAAGTCCTTTCTCAAGTCCCTTCTCAAGTCCCTTCTCAAGTCCCTTCTCAGGTCCCTTCTCAGGTCCCTTCTCAAGTCCCTTCTCAAGTCCTTACTCAAGTCCCTTCTCAGGTCCCTTCTCAAGTCCCTTCTCAGGTCCCTTCTCAGGTCCCCTCTCAAGTCCCTTCTCAAGTCCCTTCTCAGGTCCCTTCTCAGGTCCCTTCTCAGGTCCCTTCTCAGGTCCCCTCTCAAGTCCCTTCTCAGGTCCCTTCTCAAGTCCTTTCTCAAGTCCCTTCTCAAGTCCCTTCTCAAGTCCCTTCTCAGGTCCCTTCTCAGGTCCCTTCTCAAGTCCCTTCTCAAGTCCTTACTCAAGTCCCTTCTCAGGTCCCTTCTCAAGTCCCTTCTCAGGTCCCTTCTCAGGTCCCCTCTCAAGTCCCTTCTCAGGTCCCTTCTCAGGTCCCTTCTCAGGTCCCTTCTCAGGTCCCCTCTCAAGTCCCTTCTCAGGTCCCTTCTCAAGTCCTTTCTCAAGTCCCTTCTCAAGTCCCTTCTCAGGTCCCTTCTCAGGTCCCTTCTCAGGTCCCTTCTCAGGTCCCCTCTCAAGTCCCTTCTCAGGTCCCTTCTCAAGTCCTTTCTCAAGTCCCTTCTCAATTCCCTTCTCAGGTCCCTTCTCAAGTCCCCTCTCAGGTCCCTTCTCAAGTCCTTACTCAAGTCCCTTCTCAAGTCCTCTCTCAAGTCCCTTCTCAAGTCCCTTCTCAAGTCCCTTCTCAAGTCCCTTCTCAAGTCCCTTCTCAAGTCCCCTCTCAAGTCCCTTCTCAAGTCCCTTCTCAAGCCCCTTCTCAAGCCCCTTCTCAAGCCCCTTCTCAAGTCCCCTCTCAAGTCCCTTCTCAAGCCCCTTCTCAAGTCCCTTCTCAGGTCCCTTCTCAAGTCCCTTCTCAGGTCCCTTCTCAGGTCCCTTCTCAGGTCCCCTCTCAAGTCCCTTCTCAAGTCCCTTCTCAGGTCCCTTCTCAAGTCCTTTCTCAAGTCCCTTCTCAGGTCCCTTCTCAAGTCCCCTCTCAGGTCCCTTCTCAAGTCCCCTCTCAAGTCCCTTCTCAAGTCCTTACTCAAGTCCCTTCTCAAGTCCCTTCTCAAGTCCCTTCTCAAGTCCCTTCTCAAGTCCCCTCTCAAGTCCCTTCTCAAGTCCCTTCTCAAGCCCCTTCTCAAGCCCCTTCTCAAGTCCCCTCTCAAGTCCCTTCTCAAGCCCCTTCTCAAGTCCCTTCTCAGGTCCCTTCTCAAGTCCCTTCTCAAGTCCCTTCTCAAGTCCCTTCTCAAGTCCCTTCTCAAGTCCCTTCTCAAGTCCCTTCTCAAGTCCCTTATATTTTTTAAGGAGACTTTGCGCTATTAGCAGGAAGTTACTGTCTCCAAAGCAAAAGATAAAGTGCAGATATCAACATTTAAATACGGAGATATCAAAAGATAAAGTTGACATTTAAGTGTTAGCAAGAGGCTCAAGTTAAGTGTTAACTGTGATATAAACATGTGCTTTGTGTCTCAATTCGTTTATACTGTATCATAACTAACTATTTGAAGTGCACTTGTTTAATGGTTTTCTAAAGTAATGCTCATATGGATGTAGCTTACATGTACTTGTTGTTTTGTGTCTTTGTGTAGCTCTTACGTTGTTTTGGAGTTTTCAATCCATTAGAAATCATCAGTCAAGTGTACGACCATCTTTCGGAGGGATATGCTACAGTTTATATCATAAAATATCCATACTTGGCGTCCGTGTATCGACACAATATCGCTACGCAAAGTATCGCGATACTTTGCTGTATCGATAATTTCCCCCACCCCTAATACTAACTGATGTATTTACTGTTATCCACTGCTGTTAGACCTCCATCATCAACCACATCAGACATTTACATTTCTTACATTAATAAACCAACACTGTTTTGATTGATATTCCCCAATTTCACACTAAAACATTTGAAATTATTCATGAAAATACAATTGGATATTTTATCAAAAAAAATCTTTCACCAGTTTCATTGATTATCCCATTGATTACACAAAATAAATATGATTCTAATTCTGCAAAACAAGGATTGTTTCATCAAAATACTATTATCTAACTTTCTTTCTTTAATATTAAGGCTTTAATTTTAATTTAACTTTTTAACTAGAAAATTTTAAAAACTACAACAATTAGGGCTTTCACACCGGAGTACTTTTCCCCCCGAACTGGGCCGATAGGGGGGGGAGATTTGGTTTCACACCAAAAAGGATCTGGAACTAGTCCCTAGTTCGAACAAACCTTTTCACCCCCAGATAGTCGCTGCTAGAGAGGTGGTACTTTCCTGAGGAGGAAATGGTTCGTGGGTGTGTCGGCCACGCTAACAATTTATATTGGCTGGGCGAATTGCAAACCACGCCCCGTAAAACTCAGAAAAGTTTTGTGAAGCATTAGCATTAGCATTAGCCCAGCGCACCAACGGAGAGAGACTAACTTATGGCAACACAACATAAAACATGGGAGCGGTGGAGTGATGAGGAGGTGTCTGCGCTTCTGGCGATTTACTCGGAAGACGCGACCCAGCAGCTTCTACTGAAGCCAGTGCCCAACTCCAAAGTTTACAAGCGTTGTTCAGTAGAAGAAGAAGAAGTGACGTCAGCGGCTTCATTTGCCCAATCCTCCCTCTGGGACTTATTCCAGTGAGAACGCGATCTACTAGGACAGTTCCAGGGACAAAAGAGTTCGGGGGAACTAAGTACTGGGAACTAAGTACTGGGAACTAAGTACCGGGGACAAGCACCGGCTAAGTACTTGGTGTGAAAGTGGCTATTGTTCCTAGAAATTAAAATTAAAATTCTCAAAATACATTTTTGTTTCTATGAATATATAGATTTATTTAATATTAAGGAAATACAGGATTTATTAGAATACTCTTCACTATTACAAACTTGTTTCTCCAATCATTTTTTGGGGTGAAATAATTAAACATATTCACGGCTAAAATGACGTAATTTCCATTCCTTTAAATATTTCGACTCAATTTATGACTTCCTGTGACTTTAAATATATTAATCTTATTAGAGACATTTTTGTGCTTTTACTGTGTAACAGGAAGTGGTTTTATTGATTATTTTGACACCCATTCACTTGTATTTAATAATCAGGAGGACATTAATGTTGAATTGTGTTGATTGCATCTGGACAGCACCCAGGAGAAAGGAAACGGTGATTAATTTCATAAAATCTGACTTCATATTGTGCCATTTTAGGTAAAAATAATAATACATCAATGAGTCAAATCACCATGTTGTTTTTTTCTGATTCGTCACAATTCATGATAATTTATCCTTAAAGTCTAGATCAGGGGTCGGCAACCCCTGGCACGCGTGCCAGCATCGGCACCGTAACCACTAGGAATAAGTGGAATAAGTGTGCAAACATATTTAAATTGTATTTTCGGATCCTGAACGAGACCGCCGCCAGAGCGCGTCTCCCCGTGCAGAAGGAAGCCATGCACGCAGCGCAGCCCCGCTCTGTGTATCTCCAGGCGACTTTCTGCCGCTTTCCTCCGTGGTGCAGATCGTTTCCCCACAGAGAGGAAAGCACTTCACTAACTGCAGTACCCATAAGGAGCTGTACACATGCCGCAGTTTTTGCGTGGCTGTGTCTTTAGTTGAAAGCCCAGTGGCGATCTGCTCATCTCTCATCGAAATAATATGCTACAAAGGGGCGGACTGGTGTGTTGAACTTTCCTGTCGGCTCCCAGACCGTAGTCGAGGAGGGCAGAAGCAACAAGCTTCAAGTTCAATAACCCACTTTAGCTCCAATGACTGGAGAGAGGCGAGCTCTTCTGTTTCACAAAATACATCACAGACCTCTGTTTTTCTGCTTCCTCGTTTCACTTCCAGAAACATACACACGCTCCCTCACTGTCGCTCTACCATCCACACACACGCACGCACACGCACACACACACACACACACAAGCCACACCCCTCTCTCTATCTCACTCTGCATGACCCGAATATCACAACATGTGTGCTCTGGAGAATCACAGAACGGACGATCGTCCTTATTATTATGCCGTTTAAACCAATTATTTAAATGTGTTTGTTAAATTCGGCATCATGTAAGTTGCGCTGACAGGTCCACACACTGCTCCCCCGCAGCGAGGCTCCCCCCGCCCTCCTGCTGATAGTTGACGAGCGTCAAGCTCCTCATCCCCCCCCCCCCTCCCCCGTGAATAATTCTCGATCGTTGGCACGCTGATAAAAATTTTTTTTTAAATGGCACTTCATATCAAAAAGGTTGCCGACCCCTGGTCTAGATGTTGGATAATAGATGAGTAACACAAGCATCACTTCCGGGCGAAAATTACGATTCTGCCCACTTTTGGGGGAAAACAAAGCCGTAATTTGAACGGCGGTCAATACACATTCTGAAGTTTTTGCCAATCCGAAAAGAAATGTAAGAAAAACGTGGATTTTTGGATCTTCAAAGAGCCCGATTACAATCGCCAGACAGGCAAACAATTACATAAAATTATTGGAAATCGACGATCAGGCTCGATATATGGTAACAGCCAGCGAAATTACGGCCTCGCCTACTGATTTTAATTTAACCATATATCGAGCCCAATCGTCGATTTCCATTGTCGTAACCGGGCTCTTTGAAGATCCAAAAATCCACGATTTTCTTACATTTCTGATCGGATTGGCAAAAACTTCAGAATTTGTATTGACCGCCGTTCAAATGACGGCTTTGTTTTCCCCCAAAAGTGGGCGGAGTCGTAATTTGCTCCCGGAAGTGACGTAGGTGTTACTCTGATCTATATGGTGATTCTGGATTAAATTCACCAATTTGAAGTTGGTTTTTTAAGTAAATTTGTGAAAATGTACCAGTTTATTCTTAGCATTATACAAGTTTTCAGATTTTCTACCTCAGATTATTACAAACCTCCAACTCTTTAAAATATGTGTTCCTACAATGTCATTAATACGTTGTTATGTCAAATCTTGTTGAACAATTTAAGGAAACTATGGGATTATTATTGTCTCCCCAGCTCTGTAATTTAATTATTTTTGACCCATAATGGCACCAGTTGTATCATTTGAAGAAATCCAAAGTGATTTTAAAAATTAAAAACTGATTATTTCCTCTATTATTAAAATATTGATTGGTAATTGATCCCCGATCAGAGGATGATTGGTGTCCCGTCTGACCTGAGCTCCCTCCAATGTCCATGCTCTTCAGGTTTTTGGCCTCCAGGATCACGACGGTCAGTTTGGCCGCGGAGGGAACGTAACGCAGAGAGAAGCAGATCTCCCCAAGTTCTTCCTCCTGCAGGGAGATAAACACCATCAGAAAACATCTAATAATAATAACCAGAGGTGGGAAGTATTGGAGTACAAATATTTCGTTACTGTACTTAAATACATTTTTCTGGTATCAGTACTTTACTCCACTACTTATTTTTCTGACAATACCTGTACTTTCTACTTCTTACATGTTGAACACAAATACCTGTACTTTCTACTTCTTACATGTTGAACACAAATACCTGTACTTTCTACTTCTTACATGTTGAACACAAATACCTGTACTTTCTACTTCTTACATGTTGAACACAAATACCTTTACTTTCTACTTCTTACATGTTGAACACAAATACCTTTACTTTCTACTTCTTACATGTTGAACACAAATACCTGTACTTTCTACTTCTTACATGTTGAACTCAAATACCTGTACTTTCTACTTCTTACATGTTGAACTCAAATACCTGTACTTTCTACTTCTTACATGTTGAACTCAAATACCTGTACTTTCTACTTCTTACATGTTGAACTCAAATACCTGTACTTTCTACTTCTTACATGTTGAACTCAAATACCTTTACTTTCTACTTCTTACATGTTGAACCCAAATACCTGTACTTTCTACTTCTTACATTTTGAACACAAATACCTTTACTTTCTACTTCTTACATGTTGAACACAAATACCTGTACTTTCTACTTCTTACATGTTGAACTCAAATACCTGTACTTTCTACTTCTTACATGTTGAACACAAATACCTGTACTTTCTACTTCTCACATGTTGAACACAAATACCTGTACTTTCTACTTCTCACATGTTGAACTCAAATACCTGTACTTTCTACTTCTTACATGTTGAACTCAAATATCTGTACTTTCTACTTCTTACATGTTGAACTCAAATATCTGTACTTTCTACTTCTTACATGTTGAACTCAAATACCTGTACTTTCTACTTCTTACATGTTGAACCCAAATACCTGTACTTTCTACTTCTTACATGTTGAACACAAATACCTGTACTTTCTACTTCTCACATGTTGAACCCAAATATCTGTACTTTCTATTTCTTACATGTTGAACTCAAATACCTGTACTTTCTAATTCTTACATGTTGAACACAAATATCTGTACTTTCTACTTCTCACATGTTGAACCCAAATATCTGTATTTCTACTTCTTACATGTTGAACACAAATACCTGTACTTTCTACTTCTTACATGTTGAACACAAATACCTGTACTTTCTACTTCTTACATGTTGAACTCAAATACCTGTACTTTCTACTTCTCACATGTTGAACCCAAATACCTGTACTTTCTACTTCTCACATGTTGAACCCAAATACCTGTACTTTCTACTTCTTACATGTTGAACACAAATACCTGTACTTTCTACTTCTCACATGTTGAACTCAAATACCTGTACTTTCTACTTCTTACATGTTGAACACAAATACCTGTACTTTCTACTTCTTACATGTTGAACACAAATACCTGTACTTTCTACTTCTCACATGTTGAACTCAAATACCTGTACTTTCTACTTCTTACATGTTGAACCCAAATACCTGTACTTTCTACTTCTTACATGTTGAACACAAATACCTGTACTTTCTACTTCTTACATGTTGAACACAAATACCTGTACTTTCTACTTCTCACATGTTGAACCCAAATACCTGTACTTTCTACTTCTCACATGTTGAACTCAAATACCTGTACTTTCTACTTCTTACATGTTGAACACAAATATCTGTACTTTCTATTTCTTACATGTTGAACTCAAATACCTGTACTTTCTACTTCTTACATGTTGAACACAAATACCTGTACTTTCTACTTCTTACATGTTGAACACAAATACCTGTACTTTCTACTTCTTACATGTTGAACTCAAATACCTGTACTTTCTACTTCTTACATGTTGAACACAAATATCTGTACTTTCTATTTCTTACATGTTGAACTCAAATACCTGTACTTTCTACTTCTTACATGTTGAACACAAATACCTGTACTTTCTACTTCTTACATGTTGAACACAAATACCTGTACTTTCTACTTCTTACATGTTGAACTCAAATACTTGTACTTTCTACTTCTTACATGTTGAACACAAATACCTGTACTTTCTACTTCTTACATGTTGAACACAAATACCTGTACTTTCTACTTCTCACATGTTGAACCCAAATATCTGTACTTTCTATTTCTTACATGTTGAACTCAAATACCTGTACTTTCTAATTCTTACATGTTGAACACAAATACCTGTACTTTCTACTTCTTACATGTTGAACACAAATATCTGTACTTTCTACTTCTCACATGTTGAACCCAAATATCTGTATTTCTACTTCTTACATGTTGAACTCAAATACCTGTACTTTCTACTTCTCACATGTTGAACTCAAATATCTGTACTTTCTACTTCTTACATGTTGAACTCAAATACCTGTACTTTCTATTTCTTACATGTTGAACTCAAATACCTGTACTTTCTACTTCTTACATGTTGAACACAAATACCTGTACTTTCTACTTCTTACATGTTGAACTCAAATACCTGTACTTTCTACTTCTTACATGTTGAACTCAAATACCTGTACTTTCTACTTCTCACATGTTGAACTCAAATATCTGTACTTTCTACTTCTTACATGTTGAACTCAAATACCTGTACTTTCTATTTCTTACATGTTGAACTCAAATACCTGTACTTTCTACTTCTTACATGTTGAACACAAATACCTGTACTTTCTACTTCTTACATGTTGAACCCAAATACCTGTACTTTCTACTTCTTACATGTTGAACACAAATACCTGTACTTTCTACTTCTCACATGTTGAACTCAAATACCTGTACTTTCTACTTCTTACATGTTGAACACAAATACCTGTACTTTCTACTTCTTACATGTTGAACACAAATACCTGTACTTTCTACTTCTCACATGTTGAACTCAAATACCTGTACTTTCTACTTCTTACATGTTGAACCCAAATACCTGTACTTTCTACTTCTTACATGTTGAACACAAATACCTGTACTTTCTACTTCTTACATGTTGAACACAAATACCTGTACTTTCTACTTCTCACATGTTGAACCCAAATACCTGTACTTTCTACTTCTTACATGTTGAACACAAATATCTGTACTTTCTATTTCTTACATGTTGAACTCAAATACCTGTACTTTCTACTTCTTACATGTTGAACACAAATACCTGTACTTTCTACTTCTTACATGTTGAACACAAATACCTGAACTTTCTACTTCTCACATGTTGAACTCAAATACCTGTACTTTCTACTTCTTACATGTTGAACTCAAATACCTGTACTTTCTACTTCTTACATGTTGAACTCAAATACCTGTACTTTCTACTTCTTACATGTTGAACCCAAATACCTGTACTTTCTACTTCTTACATGTTGTACTCAAATACCTGTACTTTCTACTTCTTACATGTTGAACTCAAATACCTGTACTTTCTACTTCTTACATGTTGAACCCAAATACCTGTACTTTCTACTTCTTACATGTTGAACTCAAATACCTGTACTTTCTACTTCTCACATGTTGAACTCAAATACCTGTACTTTCTACTTCTTACATGTTGAACTCAAATACCTGTACTTTCTACTTCTTACATGTTGAACTCAAATACCTGTACTTTCTACTTCTTACATGTTGAACCCAAATACCTGTACTTTCTACTTCTTACATGTTGAACTCAAATACCTGTACTTTCTACTTCTCACATGTTGAACTCAAATACCTGTACTTTCTACTTCTTACATGTTGAACTCAAATACCTGTACTTTCTACTTCTCACATGTTGAACTCAAATACCTGTACTTTCTACTTCTCTCATTTTCCAAACAGCTGGTTCCTTTAGTCTGAATGTGTGTTTGATGCGTGATCATTATTCTTTAGAGTCATTGCGTGCCTATTGATTTGAACACGATCCGTGTATCCATCATTTCCTGGTCTTCTCTAAAGAAGAGGGACCAATGGAAACGTTGTCATGTTGCCGTTGTTCAGCATGGAAACATTCATTAGCTAACAATGACATTATTGTTCTATTAATATAAAGGGAGGTCAGGTACTCTTTAAAACAGCTGCTAGCTATGGGTACTTTTTACTGAAGTACATTTCAAAGCCTCTTTACTTTCACTTGAGTAAAGAAGTTTAGTGAGTACTTTTAAACACGAGTATCTGTACTTCTACTTGAGAAAAGGATAAGTGTACTTTTGCCATCTCTGATCATAATAATACATTTTATTTGAATAGCACACTTTAAAAACGTGATCTCAACAACTTCACAATTCGATGAGAAAAAAGAGCTATCTAAGAAACACAACATTCTTAAATAAAATACATACAAAACTCGGGAGCTGAGTTTAAAATAATCTTCACAAACCAATGGGAATAAGAGAATATGACTGTGGTGCTGAAGACTGAAACTCTGCGAGGTATTCACATGACTCAGATTCACTTTGAAAATCGTTTAAATGTATATGTTTTGAAAGGAAAGGAAACTAAACTAACTTAGAGTAGATTTAGCTGCTCGCAGTGTGAATGTAAAATCAAAACATAAAACCTTGGTGAGGTCCAGAAATGTTTCCAGAGAGGGACATCGAGTTTTGTATCTGTTACTTCATTTTAGGATAATAAAATATATATACATAATCAATGAAATATTTAAACAAATTAAATATAAAAATGATTTAGAAGAATAATAAAAAAAATTATAAATAATACAAATATTAAATGTAAAAATGTAAAAGATAGAAATGTATGAACTAGTAAATTAGAAAAAATTGAAAAAAATTGAAAATTAAAAACATTTTACATTTTAAACATTTAAAAAAATATATATATATATATATTATTATTATTATTATTATTAAAATACAACATAAATAAAAAAATATGTAATACACTTAAAACCTAATCAATAAAAAAAAAAAAAATTATGACAACGTCGAATTGAAATGTGTTATATCTGCTGAACGTAGAATAAATATTAAGACCTCGAACTCGGCCGGCTCGGCGAGGTCAAGAAATGTTTCCAGAGACGAAAATCTATACAAATAATTAGTTTTATCTGCTCGCATGCTGAATGTAAAATAAATATGAAGACCTCGAACTCGGCGGCCTCTCCGAGATCCTGCCACTCCTCGATGACGTGGTTCCAGTCGACGCTGCTCAGCTGGAGACGCAGCTCTCCGATCATGTTGTGTTTGGAAAATCTGTTGAAGTCAAAAACCTGCATCACCACCGTCGACTTCAGCAGAGACGCCTTAGATAACTGGGGAGAGACAATAACAGACGGGAAAGTGGGGGTTTATCCATCAGGTTAAATATTATTTTAGTTAGCTTTCTTTTACATATAGGGTATTGTTTCATATACCTAAACATAGAAAACAGAGATTCTGCATGTCTTCCAGTTAGAAATTAGACCTAATTTAGCAAATTAGTAGGTATCAAATATAGTATAATTAGCAACCATGGTTCTAAGGTGTTTAGGTTATTATTAATAATCTTGGTTCTGATGCGTTTGGGTTACTGTTAGTAACCCTGGTTCTGATGTGTTTGGGTTACTGTTAGTAACGCTGGTTCTGATGTGTTTGGGTTACTGTTAGTAACCCTGGTTCTGATGCGTTTGGGTTACTGTTAGTAACCCTGGTTCTGATGTGTTTGGGTTACTGTTAGTAACCCTGGTTCTGATGTGTTTGGGTTACTGTTAGTAACGCTGGTTCTGATGTGTTTGGGTTACTGTTAGTAACCCTGGATCTGATGTGTTTGGGTTATTGTTAGTAACGCTGGTTCTGATGTGTTTGGGTTACTGTTAGTAACCCTGGTTCTGATGTGTTTGGGTTACTGTTAGTAACGCTGGTTCTGATGTGTTTGGGTTACTGTTAGTAACCCTGGTTCTGATGTGTTTGGGTTACTGTTAGTAACGCTGGTTCTGATGTGTTTGGGTTACTGTTAGTAACCCTGGTTCTGATGTGTTTGGGTTACTGTTAGTAACGCTGGTTCTGATGTGTTTGGGTTACTGTTAGTAACCCTGGTTCTGATGTGTTTGGGTTACTGTTAGTAACCCTGGTTCTGATGTGTTTGGGTTACTGTTAGTAACGCTGGTTCTGATGTGTTTGGGTTACTGTTAGTAACCCTGGTTCTGATGTGTTTGGGTTACTGTTAGTAACGCTGGTTCTGATGTGTTTGGGTTACTGTTAGTAACCCTGGTTCTGATGTGTTTGGGTTATTGTTAGTAACGCTGGTTCTGATGTGTTTGGGTTACTGTTAGTAACCCTGGTTCTGATGTGTTTGGGTTACTGTTAGTAACGCTGGTTCTGATGTGTTTGGGTTATTGTTAGTAACGCTGGTTCTGATGTGTTTGGGTTACTGTTAGTAACCCTGGTTCTGATGTGTTTGGGTTACTGTTAGTAACGCTGGTTCTGATGTGTTTGGGTTACTGTTAGTAACCCTGGTTCTGATGTGTTTGGGTTACTGTTAGTAACGCTGGTTCTGATGTGTTTGGGCTACTGTTAGTAACCCTGGTTCTGATGTGTTTGGGCTACTGTTAGTAACCCTGGTTCTGATGTGTTTGGGCTACTGTTAGTAACGCTGGTTCTGATGTGTTTGGGTCATTATAGATAACCCTTGTTCTGCCTGAAGCCCTGCAGGTGTGTTTACCTGGAAACTGAAGTGGTCGTTGAAGACGGGGTTCAGCGTGCTCTTGAACACTTTGGTCTCGAAGATTTTGGATTTCTCGGGGCAGAGGTACACCTTAACGTACGGGTCCGAGCTGCCCCCCAGGTCCATGGCCATCAGACTGTCCGCCTGTTTGATCCCGACATTGAGCTGTAAGGACAAAGAGACAGGAACTGACTTGATATACAGAGTCTATAGAGCGGTGCAGTGACGCTTCCTAAAACCCAGAAGTGAGTCAGCATGTCTCCACTTCCTGTTCCCTCGTCTCAGAGCCAATGGGATTCCTCCATAGGGTTTTGGAAAATAGCTGAACTAAGGTGACGGAAGAGACGGATCATGTTTTGTTCTAGGACATTAAATCATCAGCAGTGACCCCACTGGTGATTTCTGAAGAGTTGACGTGTCTGAGAAACGATGGTTGTTACCAAGTGGCTGAATAGGACTACAGAAGCCGTGGAGGTCGTTGTACGTCATTACGCCGAACACGTAAACACTCCTCTAAGTTAGTTTCTGTTCTGCTTGAAAGCAAGTCCCTGCCTCCTGCAGACTGTTCAAACAAACGCTTCAACTCGTTCCATTTAGAATCTGTGTGTTTGAATATGGATCTGAAGTTGGCGTGACGTTGAAGTCGTGCTGCTGGACTCGGCTGTAACTCCTTTGTAGCATCACGTTAGCATTTTGCTTCTGGACGTTAGATTTATGATTAGAACATTATAAAAGTAGACATGTGGATATTATCCGGCTGAACAAAACGTGCATTTATCAAACAGGTTCGTTTTCCACAGATCTTATTTCCAGCTATTTTCCAAAATCCTGGAGAAATCCTGTTGCTTTTTTGTCGAGGGAACCGGCAGCTTCCTTCAGGGTGAACACGTCATCCCTGCACTGCTCTATGGTCCTGACACTGTGAGATGAAGGGGAACTCAGTGGAGAGCTCTGAGAGTTCAAAAGGTGACGTAATGACCTCAGACTGAGCAGCGTTGTAGTCCAGAGAGTAGAGCAGCTTCCCTCTCTGCTTTTTGGTCGATCCGTAATCCACATCTGCCACATCAGGCTGAACCTGACGCACGGGACACACATCAGAGAGCTTGATTAAACATTTTGTGCACATTTTCAAAAAGGGACAAAAAGAGCTCTCAGTAAATTGTTCTCAAAGATTAAAGAGCCTTTAACCTCAGGGAATATTTAAGTCTTTTTATTTTAAATGTACGACTTTCCCTATGACTTTATAATCTCAGAGAATATTATTTTGTGTCCCTTAAATTAAAGACTAATTTTTTACCGATTTCATTTTTCTTATTCGTACATTTGTGAGATTTTTTGGGGGAAATTTAGAGTTTAATTTCTTCTTGTAGATTCATGACCTTATAACCTATATTTATAATATACATGTAATAATATAGGGAATATTTACATGTTGTTCTTGTAAATGTATGATATATTTCAGAAGTTTATGACTTTATATTCTCCTTAAATTAATGACATTTCTATCTGAGAAAATATTCAATATTCTTCTTGGAAATTTGTGAGTTTATTTTGTAATGTTACGACTTATATATAAGAGATAATTAAGTTTGTTTTCTTATAGATTTGTAACTCGAGTGGCAGAAATGATCAGATCTTATTTCTGGTCGTTTGACGACTTGAGTCATTCCTTCAAATCAAAGCGCCATAATCCCGTTGATAAAGCGAAACTATGGACCTCCCTACTTCGCTGTGCGTATTATCGCAGAGTTCAGATTCCCCTGCAGGGGGCGCTGTCCCTCACCAGAGCGCTGGTGGTTTTTCCGTTGACGTCGCTCATGTTGATCTTCTCGTTCTTCTTCTGCTGCTTCTTCTTCTTCTTCTTGCAGCAGCACTTGATGCAGATGCAGAGGCAGCAGAGCAGAACGAGCAGAGTGCCGACCACAGCGATCAGGTATATCGCCCAGAGAGGCACTGCAGGGCGGAGGAAATAGTACTTATATACAAGCATTACAATATATTACATTTACCTGAGACTGTTACTTGTACTGGAGTGTTTTCAGACTGGTTTTGCTTGATTATCAGATGTGATTTTCTGCTTTAAAGATCTCCTATTATACTATTTTAGGCATATATTATAGGTCTCAAATATATAGATATATATAAAAAACATGTCTATGATGTGTTTTGCTCAAAATACCAAACAGATCACCCGTTCTAGCCTCACCCTCTCTTCCAGCTGTTCCTAAAGAGCTGACTCTGCATCAGTAGCTTCAGAGAGAGAGTAGATCTCATCAGGAGAACTCTCCCAGCAGGAACTCAGCTAAACGCTGCCGTGATTAAACTCCATATCATGTTCCAAACCACATCAAGGATCCTCTCTGAAACAGGATGGAGCTCAAACTCTTTCTCTCTCTCAGGTTTACCACAAGGTGACTTCCTTTTGATTTCCTGCTTCTTCACACAGACTCTCTCCAGCACAGGTTAGCTCTGAGTGTTAGCATGCTAATGGAAACACAGACCATATTACTTCCAGAACACGTCTCATTGTTTCTGACAGCAACGTTTCTGATTGGCCCGTGGGTCTAAAGCCCGCCCACATTTGAGTAATGTGGTCATGACGCAGCAAATCTGGATCAGCTCCGTTGTTCCCCGTTTTTAGAGATGTGGGTACGGAGGAAAAGAGAGAGGGTTTATTTCCTGACACTTTGAGAGTCTCCTGACACACCGGGGACACACACGGGGACACACCGGGGACACACCGGCGACACACCGGTGACACACCGGGGACACACCGGGGACACACCGGGGACACATGGTGAAGTAGAGAAGACATCAGAAAGTGCATTTTGCATGACAGGAGAACCTTAAACGTTGTTTTTCAAGCTGTTTACTCACGGGGGATGTCGTTGAGGATGTCGTTGATGAAGCCGACGACGGCGACGGCGGCCGGGTTGAGGGTGGAGTTGGTGGGGAAGGGGGGAGTTACCGTCTGATTAGCAATGGGATGAACCACAGGCATGATGAGGAGGAGGAGGAGGAGGAGCTGTGGGAGGAAGAGGAAAATCAGACGGGACTCTGAAGAGAAGAGGAAGAAGAGATACTAAGGAAAAGCACTAATACCCTACATTTTTACATAATTATCTATATTTTATACATATTTTTCGAAGATATAAATATATACAAAACATTTTAGACATTGTTTTTATATCTTCATAATATTTCCAAATAATTTTCACATAAATTCGGACATTTTATGTATAATTTGTACATATTTTGAAGAAATGTTCCACATGTTTTCCTGTTTATTCATTTAGCTCTGAGATATTTATGTACCGACATTTCACATGAATTGGGAAAAAATTCTCATTATTTGGATTTTTTCCTTTATTTTCTGGCATTTCACATTCATTTTCTGTCTCAGAAAGTTTCACACATGCTCTACTGTATATTTTTAAGAAGTTCATTTTAATATTCATCCAGCATTTTACACACATTTTGGGACTCTTCACTATCCATTAATTTATTTATTTACACGTTTCACAGATTTCTCTGCCTTCCTTCCTTTAAATCTTAATCTGCATTAATGCACTGTACAAATAAATAGGGTGTTTTAACTTAAAAACAGAAGTTTAAGAGCTGTCTTAAATTCATGAGTTGACTTCAAGGTCACCCATCGTGCTATTTCTAGGCAACAGCATAGGTCTCAGATATATAAAAATATATTAAAAACATGTCTACGAAGTGTTTTGCTCCAAACACCAAACAGATCATTCTAGCCATGCCTCATATCCCTCTATTTCACTTCCTGTTTCTAAAGTGCTGATTTGTGTATAAAGCTTTAAAAAGGAGGGGTCTGAGCTCATGCGGGACCCGGCAGCTACTGTCTAAACTAAATGCTGCCGTGATGAAACGCCATATCATGGATTATCAAGGATTCTCTCTGAAACAGTTTGGAGCTCAAAGGCTTTCTCTCTTGCCGGTTATACCACAAGGTGAGTTCCTTTTTACTTCCTGCTTCTTCACACACATGCTCTCCAGTACAGGTTAGCTCTGAGTGTTAGCGATGCTAATGTAAACACCGACCATATTACGTCCAAAACAGTCGGGCATTGTTTCTGATAACAACGTTTCTGATTGGGCCGTGGGTCCACATTTCAGATATTACGTCATATCGGACGCAAATCTGGATCAGCTCCGTTGTTCCCCCGTTTTTAGAGATTTGGGTACGGAGGAAAAGAGAGAGGGTTTTATTTTCTGACGCTGCGTGAGTTCCCCGACACACGGGACACATGTTGATGTAGAGAGACATCAACAAGTGCATTTTGCATGATAGGTCTCCTTTAATGTCAAAATGTACTTTGTTTCAACTCACTAAGTTAAAGGTGGGGTAGGTAAGTTTCAGAAACCGGCTCGAGTGCACTAAAATTTGAAAGTACACAGCCGAAAAGAATCCACCCCTTCCTTCAGACTTCCTTACAGAGCACCTCCTCCAACACACATGAACGCGCACATGATGTCAGCAGACTGGTGAAAGTGGCCGTCTGTTGCTGGCGAGTCATTGAAGTACTGCTGCAATGCACGCCCAATGACGGCACGCCTAATGACGGCACGCCCAATGACGGCACGCCCAATGAGGGCACGAGATACATTTGTGCGTGCACGAGATGGAAGGCTGACAGACAGGGCGGCAATCCAATACATTCAATACGGGCCGGCTAAACGGATTGAATGTACTTTTTACAGTATTACGGCTTCCACAGATGACATTTTTTTAATGGATTTGTTGTCAAAGCACTTCAGATATTCATTGCTATCGGGATGTTCAGAGCATTCCATGGAATATAACAAGTGTATCTCGAGCCGGTTTCTGAAACTTACCGACCCCACCTTTAAGTTATACAAGTTGTTTTATTAATGATCATTCATTGTTATAACCTAATACTTTGAGTTAAAGAAACTTACGATTTTACATTATCGATTGAAGACAGGTTCATTATCTAGTCCAGGGGTGCCCAACCTTTTTTGAACCGAGAGCTACTTTTAAAGTTGCCAGTCTGCCGAGATCTACCAGTCCAAATAGAGAGGCGTAGCCATTACTGACAGCCTACTACCAGGTGAATACACACTTCTACTTGTATAGAACTGACCTTTGTACGATTAATACTTCATAAAATACTGCAGATCCTTTATCTTACCTCTTTCTAATCTACACACATACAAGTATTTAACTGAAGCTACACAACAGTGTTGTTGATACAGAGTTGGAGTTTATTCACACGTCACTACAGTGGGTAATGTTTTCAAGAAGCATTGAACAGTGCTGCCACATGTGACACAGGACAAAAAGAAAAGACTCCTTTCTTTGCCATTATATAAAAATAGTGTTGCTACAAAAGTATAAATTAGGCTTACTAATAAGACAACTCAGATCTGAAGCTACACAGGAATCTGCTGCCAAAGTGCAATAAAAAAGACAACATTAATAGAATCAAACTCTTTTTTTGTTGCATTTTAGTAGAGTATAAAAAGAAATGCCTTTAAAATAGGATGCAAGCAACACTAGTTTCTTAACCTGAATTGATAATAGACTATAATCAATTTAAACAGAACAGATCTTAATGTTTGCATTCTTATACCATTTTGTACAATAATTATAATGCATAAGTTCAAACAAACTAAAACTTACAGCAGATTAATAACGGTATCTAACTTGAGTTTTTATTATATCAAAAACCTGTTGAAATGCTTCTGTTATTTTTACTGTCCCCAAAAAGCGCGTCGCAGCCTCCAGGAATGCTTCTTTCACAACTTCGCCGTCTTTGAAAGACTTCATGTGTTTCTCAAGAACGTGACTGACACGATAAGATGCTCTGGTAGCAGCCTTGCTCTTGTTGTTGGGCCTGGTGGAAATGGACTGCTGTGCATTTAGCTGTCCTCTCAGGCCCCTCCCCTTTTGGAGCGTAGGGCAGAATTAGGAGGGAATTCCGTCTCGTAGCGTGTGTGCACTGTTTTGAAATGCCGCTCCTAAATTACCCTTCTTCGATAAAGCCACGCTCGCATTGCAGATGAGACAGATGGACTTTGAATTGGAATAATCATGGAGTGACACTCGAGTGAAAATGATATATCTGGGGCTTTTTTGCTTCTGCCATTGAGGTCTTGTGTGTGTGCGAACTGTCACTCCTGTTGACACGGACAACGTCAGCGAACTAGTGCCCACTGCCCACAAGCCACGCCCCGACACATGGGGTCACACCGGCCAATCACAAAGCTTTGATGCGTTCAAGTGCATTATTCTGGTACAGGAAGATTATGTTATGGGACATTACCGATCAAACTGAATATTGTTGTTCTATTTTTAGACACATCTCGCGATCGACTGGGAATCTCCCCGCGATCGACCGGTCGATCGCGATCGACAGGTTGGGCACCCCTGATCTAGTCAAATCAACTTTAACTTCTACCTTATCTTAAGTCACAATTCTAAGCAATTAACTATATTTATACCAATTGACAAATTCAAGATATGTTGAGTCTTGTTTTCAAGGCAGCAATTTAACTTAAATGTTCATATTAAGTCAAAGTGTTTTCTATTTCTAACTCTTTAGAACGTTCACCAGCTTCCTTAAACTTCTTAATGACTCAACTTAGAAAATTAAACATCACCCAAATGTGTATAAAAGGACATCAAGGCTTAAAGTGACTTCACATGCTCAAGTATTTTATCATATTGTGTAAGATATGTCGGGTCCGTCTGTGTCAGTCCTTTGGTCTCAGCTTGGTGTGTCCCTACCTTTAGATCCCATATGTTTGGATATGAAAACTGTAATCTGAAAGTGACGAAAGCTAACAGAAGGTTCAAGTAGTATCAAATAGAAAAGTGACGTACAAATACCTGCAGTGTGTACTTTAGTGACGTAAGAACCGTATGAGTGAGTGAGGCTGCTCCTTCAGCTCCACCATGAACAAACACAACGTTAACGCAGAGTAAAAACAAGCTGAACGCAGAGCGGGGGAAACCATCGGATCAGGAAATAAACCAACAGGTTCTGGACTTTCTGAACCCCTGGGAAGAGAGCCGGAAATACAACGACAAAGAAAACCAGAGAACTAAAGCGTTTGCAAAAACATTACAGCCCTATTACACATTGATACAACCATGTTACACTATTATTACACTCAAATGCCCCACATGTAACACCACGGTTACACCCAGAAGAATAATTCAAAAGTAACAAACTAATTAACCCTTAATACACATTTAAAAGTCATCTCAGCAGTAAATGCTCAAACTAAACGTCTCGGAAATAGAAGCTGGAAATATTCGACTCACTTTTGACAAGTCCTACTGAAATATCCACTTCTCTACTCGCTGGCCAAAGTGTTTCTGAGGTTTAGAATGAGAAGGAAGTTGTGTCGAGAAGAAGGAAGGAGGTGACGTACAACTTTTCCTCCAAAACACCAGAGAGTTTGATGAGAGGAAGCGTCTCCTCCCTCCATCTCCATCCACACCTATTCAGCAGGGAAACTAAATAAAACCACGTCTCTGCACACAGGAGCAGGAAGTGCTCAGATTGTACGGCAGTATGAAGAGTTCTTCATTCCCTCCACTGGCTTCCTGTCTCATTCAGGATCGAATACAAGATCGCACTGCTGACCCATCAGTGCATCCACGGGAACGCTCCTCCATACCTGAAGGAACTTCTCAAATCTCAAACCTCCACACGCAACCTCCGCTCCACAGCCAACCATCGGCTTCGCCCCCCCAGGACCAAACTCCGCACAATGGGGGATCAGGCTTTCTGTGCAGCTGCTCCTCGTCTGTGGAATTCCCTCCCAGACCACCTGAGGACTCCCAGACCACTTGAGGACTCCACAGACCACCTGAGGACTCCCAGACCACCTGAGGACTCCACAGACCACCTGAGGACTCCCAGACCACCTGAGGACTCCACAGACTACCTGAGGACTCCCAGACCACCTGAGGACTCCACAGACCACCTGAGGACTCCACAGACCACCTGAGGACTCCCAGACCACCTGAGGACTCCACATACCACCTGAGGACTCCCAGACCACCTGAGGACTCCACAGACCACCTGAGGACTCCACAGACCACCTGAGGACTCCACAGACCACCTGAGGACTCACAGACCACCTGAGGACTCACAGACCACCTGAGGCCCTGTTCTGCTTTCCCCTCTGTTTCATGTAAACGGTCTGCAAGGCTCAAACCCCGAGTGTTGCCTCCAGAGAGTTTCCCTCTTCTCTTGGCTAGCCTCATCAAATGTGTACATCTCTTCATTTTAATACATGTTGGGTTTAATTAATATTTTATTTATAGATTTTTAACACTTATTTATTGATGTATATATTGTTTCCCATGTAACGTTAAGGGTCCTCTCCTGTTGATGCACCTAACCCTTGTGTTGTGTTCAAAGCTGCCCGCGGGTACATTCTGACCCGTGATTTATCTCAGTCCAAAACACACACAAAAAATTACTATCATCCAAAATTGTTTTAACCACGTCATAATTAACTCATTATGCATTCATAACCGTACAATCCTGTTGTCATTTTATTTGATGGCCCCAAAAAACATTACACGACATATTTAAGAAAAACGTGATTCAATTCATTTAAATTATTGTTACAGTGGATGGGGGGGGGGGGGTGTCTAAAGTCACAGATGAATCTTGATTGGGCCAGATTTGACCTCGAGTCACCCACAACTATTCTGCTGGTCTCCCCAGCAGGGGCGGTTCTAGGGGGGCAGGGGGGCCAGTGCCCCCCTAACACTGACCTCTGACCCCCCCTGTGGCCCCCCTAACAATGAAACGTTTTTTTTTAAATGTATATTTTCTGGTACTCAGGATTTTGTTGCTGTAATGTGAGATTGTGCAGACACCCTTATGTAAAGTAGAGATGTAACTGTTCAATGCCTTTATTTTTATATAAATATGGTGTTAGTGCAAACATTGCACTATAACTTAAGCTGAAGCTAACAGTAATAACTATAAGATCTATCTGAAATAAATAAGTGTACTGAAACAAATACCAATAACTGTATTGCATTGTTTTCTTATGCGCAATTACTTCATACTGTCTAGTTCTCTTTTTCGTCCTGCATTTATTGCCCCCCTCAGAAAATAACTGGCCCCCCAGTGGCCCCCCCAGTCAAATTAGTCTAGAACCGCCACTGCTCCCCAGACTCCAACACCAAATGATACACTTTTGTTTAGAGACATTCAGACTTGGCTCAAATGGTCAAAATCTGCTTTGTAGTGTTTTTATAGCTGCTGTGGAGGATTTCATGAAGCCTTGTTCCGATACAAGAAACTAGAGCGTAGTTATTGTATAATTTGAACTTGAAACGGGAGACCCGAACACAACATGAGGGTTTCTTACTTATTCAACAAATGTAAAAATATACAAATACAATCAAGTATTCTACTAATACATGTGGAAGGAAATATAGAAACAGCGGGAAAGTTTGGAAGAAGAAATACAAAAAATGTACATGGGGTAAAAGTAAAATAAAAAATAAGAAGAGAGAGGTTTGAATATTAAGGGAAATAAAGATAAAATAAATCAACAAAATCGCTGTTTCTTTAAGGATTGAAGCAGAAACAAAGAAGAAGCGTCTGAAACTCAAACAACAGAGAGAGAGTTTCAACAAAGTCTGAAAACAACAACAGTGATATAAAACCAGTACCTGAGTTTAACGATGAGTTTTATTCCCTTTACTTCAATCCCATTTCTTCTCCTTTTGTTCAGTCGGCTGTTCAATTACGTTTTAAAAAGTCTTGCCGAACGTCAGACTGCCATCTCAAAATCTGAAAGTGTGACGACTTTCGAGCTGCACCACACCCACACACACACACACACGCACACGCACACGCACACGCACACACACACACAGTAGTTCAAACAGAGGTGGAGTCGCTGTAAATACCAGTTATTCCAATATGTGTCATTTCACTTCAGCTTCCTGCAGTCTGAGACGATTCTTTATTAAATACAGTTTCATCCCACAGACCACGAGACTATGAGTCCTGAACTCTTTAAAGAACATTCATAAACATTCATCTGATTGCATCATTTATCTATATATCATATCCTACTTGTATTTAGACTTCTGGCACTAGTTTGTATTTTATTTGTATTTACTTGCACATCTCAAAACATTCTCGTGCACTATTGTATCTGTTTTATTTGTAATGTCTTATATATTCATGTTGCTGAGGAGCCTGGGACTTCAGTTTCTCATTGACATATCAGATTGTCCTAACAGTAATAATAACACATTTTATTTATGGAGCGCTTTTCTAGAAACCAGGGGCGGACTGGGAGGAAACGTGGCCCGGGGATTCATTGACAGAGACCCACTTAATGCGCGGCATGTATCAGCCGGCCGGCGATGAAAGTATGTTTCTTAACAAAAACCCCTGCATTTAATGTTATTCTGGACCATTACTCATAAAGTAATCACATTACCTGAGCAGCCCTTGAGTTCCTAGAGCAAAATAGTTACGGCATATATTTAGTGATTTTAATGCTAACAGATCTTTGATGCAATAACATCTGGACCCAATTTGCCTGACTTGACGCATGGAACAAAACATGGGCGTAGGAAGCATCCTCAATGTGGGTGAGACTATTTAACAGGGGGTGTGGGCAGGTGGTGGACCTCACCTCCTCTAGGGGGGTCCAGGGGCATGTTGAAGTTAAATGCATCAATCTGGTCCATTTTGAGAGCAACATAGGGACTAAATCTATAGATACATCTCTCAACACCCATATGAACAGATGAAAACGGCCCAGCCCAGTGGGGTGTGGGCCACACTCCTACAGGGAGTGGCCGGAACACTTATAAATGTGGGCCGGAAGGATTTAGGCAAAAAAAAGAAAAGTATTTTGGGTATTCCCAATGGCCAGTCCGCCCCTGGCCGGATATAAGGCGCTGTTATTAAAAAGGTGGAGGGAGAGTCCTCTCCTGTCAGACTGAGAGGCTAATAACTACAGCTCAGGGAGGTGAAGTGGACCTATCATGCTATATTTGAATCAGATGTTGTAGGGCCATACCTATACAAAACATGTCTGTGAAGTTTTTTTTTTCAAAATACCAAACAGATCATGCATTTTAGCCATGCCTCATTTCGCTCTATTCCAGCCCTGTCTTCACAAGGGCTGATTCTGTGGCAGGGGGGCGTGGCACGAGCGTCATGTTACCATGCTGTTACCATGCTGTTACCATGCCACTCATTCCCCTGATAGGTGGAGAGTTGCCCATATAGGCCCAGAGATGCATGGTTGGCAGCAGCTTGGAAGCAGGAGTGGGAGTCAGCCGGGCCCTCCCGAATCCACCGTTACATCTGGGACCCAGGAGATGGGGCCATTGGAGGAGACGACCTACCGCGCCGGCAGTGGACCACTCTGAACCGTCTACGAACTGGGGTCGGTCGCTTTAAAACATCGATGAAGACGTGGGGCTTGGCGGACAGTGCGGCATGCGAGTGCGGTGACCCTGAGCTGTCCATATAATCACCATCTGCCCCTTATATAGACCACCCTCGGAAGCCAGCCTCTTCGACCTAGGACCAGAGATGCGGGCATGGCTACACGACACCGAGTTGGACCTCTAACGTTACACGAAAAAAGAAGGTGGAGCTCCCCGTTCCTGACGTCAGAGAATTTTCAAATCTGGATCAGTCTGTATCAGATCTGTTGCAGCCCCGTTTTTAGAGATTTGGGTACGGAGGAAAAGAGAGAGGGTTGTGTTTTCTGACACTTGGTGAGTTCCCTGACACACCGGGGACACATATTCATGTATAAAAGACGTACAAAAGTGCATTTTGCACGATAGGTCCCCTTTAAGGGACTCTCTGAGGGTTTAGATAGTTCACTTTAGTCTAAGTGCTCTCAAAGGGTTTGGTAATCATTTATGTAAACAAGTATTTCCAAGGCACACCTTTATATGATCATTATAGTTATGAAAAATAAGAGAATAACAGGTATGAAATAATTCCAACTCATACTATAGGACAGCAACACAAGAATACAGTTTGAAAGGGGAGTGATTTGTAAAATATCCATAAAGAAAAAGTAAATCTGTTTACAGTTCTGTTTCAAATGGATGTTATTGAGAGATGTATAAATAGATCTCTTCATGTTGCTCTCAAAGTGCAGCAGATTGATGCTTTAACTTCAACATTTACCCCCTAGAGGAGGTGAGGACCCCCCTAGAGGAGGTGAGGACCCCCCTAGAGGAGGTGAGGACCCCCCTAGAGGAGGTGAGGTCCCCCCTAGAGGAGGTGAGGACCCCCCTAGAGTTCCACCACCCACCCACACCACCTGTCAAATTGTCCCACCCACATTAAGGATGCTTCCTACGCCCATGGTGCGACCAACAACCAATCACATGAATCTCCCGCCCCGGACACACAAGCACGCGGTTTGATTGGCTAGAGCTTGTACTGGCATTTGATTTAATTGGCTGGCGCTTCCGTCGTCGCTTGAAAAGTTGAACTTTTCTCAACTTTCAAAGCGAGCAACGGAGGCAAAGCGCCGCGAAGGAACCACAATGCAGTTCGGGTCACCCCATTCAAAGTGAATGGGAAGCGTCTCCGTTGAAGCTGCCGTGTGGACGGGCTGTTAACGTCATGAAATCTGCTGTTAAAAAAGGTTGGCCAGTTATCCAACACAAAAACACAAAAACACTTTCATATTTTTAGATGACAGGAATAAATTGACTTTTTTCAACACTCAAAGAGAGGATTTTGTATTAAAAAAATCCCCAAAATGTATGTTATAGGTCATATATTTGCACACGTCGGCCACCGTACTTAACCTTTAAACGTACTTACAAAATAATAGCATATGTTAAATGACATGTAAGCACAAATAAGTCATATGCAAATGAATAAAAAGTTCCGTACCATCAAAAAAACATTTACTTCGTATATTAATGCGTTAATACGGAAGAGGATTAGGGCCACATAAAACATTTTTTTGAGAGGATTTGAAAAAAACGTTTTTTTTTTTGGGAGAAAAAAGTCAGAACAAAAAAAAAAAAAAAATTTCAAATCCTCACAAAAAAATGTTTTATGTGGCCCTAATCCTCTTCCGTACATTAAAAATAAATTGTCTTTAGAGAAACTCTTGAAAAATAATTAAATATACGACATACATGTTCATTATAACACATGGAGAAGGAGTCCAGGAGAGGACTCTTTAAAGTAGAGACACTGCATACTAATATACACCTGAACATCAACAGGAGAGGACTCTTTAAAGTAGAGACACTACATACTGATATACACCTGAACATCAGCAGGAGAGGACTCTTTAAAGTAGAGACACTACATACTGATATACACCTGAACATCAGCAGGAGAGGACTCTTTAAAGTAGAGACACTACATACTGATATACACCTGAACATCAGCAGGAGAGGACTCTTTAAAGTAGAGACACTACATACTGATATACACCTGAACATCAGCAGGAGAGGACTCTTTAAAGTAGAGACACTACATACTGATATACACCTGAACATCAGCAGGAGAGGACTCTTTAAAGTAGAGACACTACATACTGATATACACCTGAACATCAGCAGGAGAGGACTCTTTAAAGTAGAGACACTACATACTGATATACACCTGAACATCAGCAGGAGAGGACTCTTTAAAGTAGAGACACTACATACTGATATACACCTGAACATCAGCAGGAGAGGACTCTTTAAAGTAGAGACACTACATACTGATATACACCTGAACATCAGCAGGAGAGGACTCTTTAAAGTAGAGACACTACATACTGATATACACCTGAACATCAGCAGGAGAGGACTCTTTAAAGTAGAGACACTACATACTGATATACACCTGAACATCAGCAGGAGAGGACTCTTTAAAGTAGAGACACTACATACTGATATACACCTGAACATCAGCAGGAGAGGACTCTTTAAAGTAGAGACACTACATACTGATATACACCTGAACATCAGCAGGAGAGGACTCTTTAAAGTAGAGACACTACATACTGATATACACCTGAACATCAGCAGGAGAGGACTCTTTAAAGTAGAGACACTACATACTGATATACACCTGAACATCAGCAGGAGAGGACTCTTTAAAGTAGAGACACTACATACTGATATACACCTGAACATCAGGAGGAGAGGACTCTTTAAAGTAGAGACACTACATACTGATATACACCTGAACATCAGCAGGAGAGGACTCTTTAAAGTAGAGACACTACATACTAATATACACCTGAACATCAGCAGGAGAGGACTCTTTAAAGTAGAGACACTACATACTGATATACACCTGAACATCAGCAGGAGAGGACTCTTTAAAGTAGAGACACTACATACTGATATACACCTGAACATCAGCAGGAGAGGACTCTTTAAAGTAGAGACACTACATACTGATATACACCTGAACATCAGCAGGAGAGGACTCTTTAAAGTAGAGACACTACATACTGATATACACCTGAACATCAACAGGAGAGGACTCTTTAAAGTAGAGACACTACATACTAATATACACCTGAACATCAACAGGAGAGGACTCTTTAAAGTAGAGACACTACATACTGATATACACCTGAACATCAGCAGGAGAGGACTCTTTAAAGTAGAGACACTACATACTGATATACACCTGAACATCAGCAGGAGAGGACTCTTTAAAGTAGAGACACTACATACTGATATACACCTGAACATCAGCAGGAGAGGACTCTTTAAAGTAGAGACACTACATACTGATATACACCTGAACATCAGCAGGAGAGGACTCTTTAAAGTAGAGACACTACATACTGATATACACCTGAACATCAGCAGGAGAGGACTCTTTAAAGTAGAGACACTACATACTGATATACACCTGAACATCAGGAGGAGAGGACTCTTTAAAGTAGAGACACTACATACTGATATACACCTGAACATCAGCAGGAGAGGACTCTTTAAAGTAGAGACACTACATACTAATATACACCTGAACATCAGCAGGAGAGGACTCTTTAAAGTAGAGACACTACATACTGATATACACCTGAACATCAGCAGGAGAGGACTCTTTAAAGTAGAGACACTACATACTGATATACACCTGAACATCAGCAGGAGAGGACTCTTTAAAGTAGAGACACTACATACTGATATACACCTGAACATCAGCAGGAGAGGACTCTTTAAAGTAGAGACACTACATACTGATATACACCTGAACATCAGCAGGAGAGGACTCTTTAAAGTAGAGACACTACATACTGATATACACCCAGAACATCAGCAGGAGAGGACTCTTTAAAGTAGAGACACTACACACTGATATACACCTGAACATCAGCAGGAGAGGACTCTTTAAAGTAGAGACAGTACATACTGATATACACCTGAACATCAGCAGGAGAGGACTCTTTAAAGTAGAGACACTACACACTGATATACACCTGAACATCAGCAGGAGAGGACTCTTTAAAGTAGAGACACTACATACTGATATACACCTGAACATCAGCAGGAGAGGACTCTTTAAAGTAGAGACACTACATACTGATATACACCTGAACATCAGCAGGAGAGGACTCTTTAAAGTAGAGACACTACATACTGATATACACCTGAACATCAGCAGGAGAGGACTCTTTAAAGTAGAGACACTACATACTGATATACACCTGAACATCAGCAGGAGAGGACTCTTTAAAGTAGAAACAATACATACAGATATACACCTTAACATCAGCAGGAGAGGACTCTTTAAAGTAGAGACACTACATACTGATATACACCTGAACATCAGCAGGAGAGGACTCTTTAAAGTAGAGACACTACATACTGATATACACCTGAACATCAGCAGGAGAGGACTCTTTAAAGTAGAGACACTACATACTGATATACACCTGAACATCAGCAGGAGAGGACTCTTTAAAGTAGAGACACTACATACTGATATACACCTGAACATCAGCAGGAGAGGACTCTTTAAAGTAGAGACACTACATACTGATATACACCTGAACATCAGCAGGAGAGGACTCTTTAAAGTAGAGACACTACATACTGATATACACCTGAACATCAGCAGGAGAGGACTCTTTAAAGTAGAGACACTACATACTGATATACACCTGAACATCAGCAGGAGAGGACTCTTTAAAGTAGAGACACTACATACTGATATACACCTGAACATCAGCAGGAGAGGACTCTTTAAAGTAGAGACACTACATACTGATATACACCTGAACATCAGGAGGAGAGGACTCTTTAAAGTAGAGACACTACATACTGATATACACCTGAACATCAGCAGGAGAGGACTCTTTAAAGTAGAGACACTACATACTAATATACACCTGGACATCAGCAGGAGAGGACTCTTTAAAGTAGAGACACTACATACTGATATACACCTGAACATCAGCAGGAGAGGACTCTTTAAAGTAGAGACACTACATACTGATATACACCTGAACATCAGCAGGAGAGGACTCTTTAAAGTAGAGACACTACATACTGATATACACCTGAACATCAGCAGGAGAGGACTCTTTAAAGTAGAGACACTACATACTGATATACACCTGAACATCAGCAGGAGAGGACTCTTTAAAGTAGAGACACTACATACTGATATACACCTGAACATCAGCAGGAGAGGACTCTTTAAAGTAGAGACACTACATACTGATATACACCTGAACATCAGCAGGAGAGGACTCTTTAAAGTAGAGACACTACATACTGATATACACCTGAACATCAGCAGGAGAGGACTCTTTAAAGTAGAGACACTACATACTGATATACACCTGAACATCAGCATGAGAGGACTCTTTAAAGTAGAGACACTACATACTGATATACACCTGAACATCAGCAGGAGAGGACTCTTTAAAGTAGAGACACTACATACTGATATACAACTGAACATCAGCAGGAGAGGACTCTTTAAAGTAGAGACACTACATACTGATATACACCTGAACATCAGCAGGAGAGGACTCTTTAAAGTAGAGACACTACATACTGATATACACCTGAACATCAGCAGGAGAGGACTCTTTAAAGTAGAGACACTACATACTGATATACACCTGAACATCAACAGGAGAGGACTCTTTAAAGTAGAGACACTACATACTGATATACACCTGAACATCAGCAGGAGAGGAATCTTTAAAGTAGAGACACTACATACTGATATACACCTGAACATCAGCAGGAGAGGACTCTTTAAAGTAGAGACACTACATACTGATATACAACTGAACATCAGCAGGAGAGGACTCTTTAAAGCAGAGACACTACATACTGATATACACCTGAACATCAGCAGGAGAGGACTCTTTAAAGTAGAGACACTACATACTGATATACACCTGAACATCAGCAGGAGAGGACTCTTTAAAGTAGAGACACTACATACTGATATACACCTGAACATCAGCAGGAGAGGACTCTTTAAAGTAGAGACACTACATACTGATATACACCTGAACATCAGCATGAGAGGACTCTTTAAAGTAGAGACACTACATACTGATATACACCTGAACATCAGCAGGAGAGGACTCTTTAAAGTAGAGACACTACACACTGATATACACCTGAACATCAGCAGGAGAGGACTCTTTAAAGTAGAGACACTACATACTGATATACACCTGAACATCAGCAGGAGAGGACTCTTTAAAGTAGAGACACTACATACTGATATACACCTGAACATCAGCAGGAGAGGACTCTTTAAAGTAGAGACACTACATACTGATATACACCTGAACATCAGCAGGAGAGGACTCTTTAAAGTAGAGACACTACATACTGATATACACCTGAACATCAGCAGGAGAGGACTCTTTAAAGTAGAGACACATGGACATCAGTAAAAGAAGAACGACACGCTGGTTTTTATTCAACTGATATTTTATTGGTCTAAAATGTTGAGATAAGCGGAGAGCCAGAGGGAAGCAGCCGGAGCAGGAAGACGATCCAAACTGGATTTAAATCATAATTTAAAGGAGAATAAACTCTGACGTTCTGCACAAACAGGAGGTGAATTAAAAAGGTGCACTGTGGAGTAAACAACAATAACAATAGTGTTGATTTGAGAGCAATCAACCATTTGTTTACTAGCTTGTAGTGCTGCACCTGATTATTTATTTTTGTTATATTGATCGATTAACCTGCTTATTGTATGGATAACATGTCAGAAAATAGTGAAATAGAAGTCCAAACTGTGGCCTTAAAATGCCTAAATACGGTCTCTCTAATGTGAGAGAAAAGTAGGAAATAAGAGGGTTGAAAAAACATGAAAAACAATTTAATTGAGTAATGAAATGGGAGCAGCTCTAGCTTGCCGTCTTCTTCTCTGCCTTGTATTCCTGCGGTTGCCATCAAATCAGCAGAAGAAGAAAACAGTGTTTAAAAGAAACTCCACAGGGAACCTTTAAGTTTGTGCGTTTAATGAATAAGGCAGAATTACCATAACGGTGAAAATCGTGCATTTAATCCCTTTTTTGTTCCTTAAATGTCATGTTTTTAGCGTCGACTCGTCCCATGTGTTGCTGCAGAGGAGTGCGTTCTTTATTTGAATATCATTAGCTTTTAAACACATGGATTTTGACTGAAATTAGTTTGAAAGCTGTTAAAAACAACAAGAAAGTAGACCTTAAAAAACATTTCCCTAACGATTATTAATTTAGATTTTGTTTCCTTTCTTTTGCAACTTCTCCTTCTAGCATTTGTTGTTCTGGCAAATTAAAAATAAAGAATTGAAGCAGAAATACAGCAAAAAATAATGTATGAAATGCAGAAACTCCTCTTGTGATTAAAGCTCGAGCCTCTTAATTTCTAGGAGTTTATCTAAACCTGTAAAACGTACATCTTCCTGCTCTGATCACTTTCGTCATGTTACATTCTGTAAAAATAACAAAAACACTTGTTCCTTTGAGAGAGGAAGCACAGCGACCCGGCAGAAAGTAATAATAATATTTATATATCTATGTTCGGTAAATAAGTGGTGATGTTCTGCTGTGTTTGTAGAGAGCAGAGAGACTGATCTGAGGTCAGTCTTTCTGCTCTCTGCAGTGTTTGTAGAGAGCAGAGAGACTGATCTGAGGTCAGTCTCTCTGCTCTCTGCAGTGTTTGTAGAGAGCAGAGAGACTGATCTGAGGTCAGTCTCTCTGCTCTCTGCAGTGTTTGTAGAGAGCAGAGAGACTGATCTGAGGTCAGTCTTTCTGCTCTCTGCAGTGTTTGTAGAGAGCAGAGAGACTGATCTGAGGTCAGTCTCTCTGCTCTCTGCAGTGTTTGTAGAGAGCAGAGAGACTGATCTGAGGTCAGCGCTGGGGCCTCTTTTATTGAGAGAACATTTAAATAACACAGGTCTCCTCGTTATTTACACTGAAGGGAAGACAACGGGATTAAAAGTTGATCGCTTTCCCAGTTGAGGCGGCGATGTTCGCTTCTCTGAAGGCCTCCGACACCGTCTGAGGAGGAGGAAGAGGAGGGGGAAGAGGAGGGGGAAGAGGAGGGGGAAGAGGAGGAGGAGGAGGAAGAACAAAAATGTCAGTGATTTTTAACATTTGATACCGTAAACAGATGTTAATAGCAAAATGACTGTATATCTATTATGGTGTGTGTCTCCGTCTGTGTGTGTGAGTGTGTGTGTGAGAGTGTGAGTGTGTGTGTGTGACGTACAGGATGTGCGTGGCAGACTCTTGCGATGTCCTCACAGGAAGCTCCGTACTCCATCGCCAGGCAAGCTTCATTAATAATCTCTCCTGCCCCCTGGTGGGAGCACACAGTATTACATCACATTAAAATACATTTACTGGAGCTTTTATTCACAGAGACCTACATCAACTATAGACCTTCTGCAGATTGTGCTTCACTCTACTGTTATTCAGCCTTTAAACACTGATTAACTAGAACACAATGCTCTCACCGTCCCCACGATGTGAGCTCCCAGCATCCTGTCCGTCTCCTTGTGGCTGAGGATCTTCACCATGCCGTCAGTGTCGTTGTTGGTCTTCGCTCGGCTGTTAGCGGCGAAGGGGAATTTTCCCACTTTGTACGGGACGCCCTGAAGAGGAAGAGGAGGAAGAGATGTTAAAAAACACTGCTGGACTCAAAGCAGTAAAACCCTGGGATATATATGTAAGAGTTAAGGGGTCTTTAAAACCCTTCCTTTATAGCCCAACATTAGCCGCCTTTCGCTTAGCGGTGGTGAAGTGAAGTCATGTGACCGTGCTGGAGTTCCTTTAGAGCCCAACATTAGCCTCCTTTAGCTTAGCGGTGGTGACGTGAAGTCATTTGACCGTGCTGTAGTTCCTTTATAGCCACCTTTAGCTTAGCGGTGGTGACGTGAAGTCATGTGACCGTGCTGTAGTTCCTTTAGAGCCCAACATTAGCCTCCTTTAGCTTAGCGGTGGTGACGTGAAGTCATGTGACCGTGGTGTAGTTCCTTTATAGCCTAACGTTAGCCGCATTTAGCTTAGCGGTGGTGACGTGAAGTCATGTGACCGTGCTGTAGTTATTTTATAGCCCAACATTAGCCGCCTTTAGCTTAGCGGTGGTGACGTGAAGTCATGTGACCGTGCTGTAGTTCCTTTAGAGCCCAACATTAGCCGCCTTTCGCTTAGCGGTGGTGACGTGAAGTCATGTGACCGTGCTGTAGTTCCTTTAGAGCCCAACATTAGCCTCCTTTAGCTTAGCGGTGGTGACGTGAAGTCATGTGACCGTGCTGTAGTTCCTTTATAGCCCAACATTAGCCTCCTTTAGCTTAGCAGTGGTGACGTGAAGTCATGTGACCGTGCTGTAGTTCCTTTAGAGCCCAACATTAGCCTCCTTTAGCTTAGCGGTGGTGACGTGAAGTCATGTGACCGTGGTGTAGTTCCTTTATAGCCTAACGTTAGCCGCATTTAGCTTAGCGGTGGTGACGTGAAGTCATGTGACCGTGCTGTAGTTCCTTTATAGCCTAACGTTAGCCGCATTTAGCTTAGCGGTGGTGACGTGAAGTCATGTGACCGTGCTGTAGTTCCTTTAGAGCCCAACATTAGCCTCCTTTAGCTTAGCAGTGGTGACGTGAAGTCATGTGACCGTGCTGAAGTTCCTTTAGAGCCCAACATTAGCCTCCTTTAGCTTAGCGGTGGTGACGTGAAGTCATGTGACCGTGGTGTAGTTCCTTTATAGCCTAACGTTAGCCGCATTTAGCTTAGCGGTGGTGACGTGAAGTCATGTGACCGTGCTGTAGTTATTTATAGCCCAACATTAGCCGCCTTTAGCTTAGCGGTGGTGACGTGAAGTCATGTGACCGTGCTGTAGTTCCTTTAGAGCCCAACATTAGCCGCCTTTCGCTTAGCGGTGGTGACGTGAAGTCATGTGACCGTGCTGTAGTTCCTTTAGAGCCCAACATTAGCCTCCTTTAGCTTAGCGGTGGTGACGTGAAGTCATGTGACCGTGCTGTAGTTCCTTTATAGCCCAACATTAGCCTCCTTTAGCTTAGCAGTGGTGACGTGAAGTCATGTGACCGTGCTGTAGTTCCTTTAGAGCCCAACATTAGCCTCCTTTAGCTTAGCGGTGGTGACGTGAAGTCATGTGACCGTGGTGTAGTTCCTTTATAGCCTAACGTTAGCCGCATTTAGCTTAGCGGTGGTGACGTGAAGTCATGTGACCGTGCTGTAGTTCCTTTATAGCCCAACATTAGCCGCCTTTAGCTTAGCGGTGGTGACGTGAAGTCATGTGACCATGCTGTAGTTCCTTTATAGCCCAACATCAGCCGCCTTTAGCTTAGCGGTGGTGACGTGAAGTCATGTGACCGTGCTGTAGTTCTTTTATAGCCCAACATTAGCCGCCTTTAGCTTAGCGGTGGTGACGTGAAGTCATGTGACCGTGCTGTAGTTCCTTTATAGCCTAACGTTAGCCGCATTTAGCTTAGCGGTGGAAACGTGAAGTCATGTGACCGTGCTGTAGTTCCTTTATAGCCCAATGTTACGTGCCGTAGTGTTTGTGTGGTCGTGTGTGTGTTTTTCTCTCTCTCCCTCTGACTCCCCAGGTGCAGCCTGATTGTCCCCAGGTGCGCCTAATTCCAAATCAGGGCCTCCATATAGGACCGGAGGAAGACTGCAGTGGGGTCTCCTTTTTTCATCCCATGGCTGCATGTGTGCAGACCTGTGTCTTGCCGATTGATAGGAGGGGAGCTCCGTGATATATTGATGCTGTATTATTCTGTGCAAGTTGGCTGGTGAGCCCGTGTTCCTGTCGTGTTCATTAAACGACTTGTTCGTTACTCAGAGATCGATTTTCTCTCCTTTTTTGTCGTGCTTGGTCATCCTTGTGTGTTGTTACTTCCCTTTGTACCCCCTAGATTTAGAAGGGAACGTAACACCCAACATTAGCCTCCTTTAGCTTAGCGGTGGTGACGTGAAGTCATGTGACCATGCTATAGTTCCTTTATAGCCCAACATTAACCTCCTTTAGCTTAGCGGTGGTGACGTGAAGTCATGTGACCGTGCTGTAGTTCCTTTATAGCCCAACATTAGCCTCCTTTAGCTTAGCGGTGGTGACGTGAAGTCATGTGACCGTGCTGTAGTTCCTTTATAGCCCAACATTAGCCACCTTTAGCTTAGCGGTGGTGACGTGAAGTCATGTGACCGTGCTGTAGTTCCTTTATAGCCCAACATTAGCCTCCTTTAACTTAGCGGCGGTGACGTGAAGTCATGTGACCGTGCTGTAGTTCCTTTATAGCCCAACATTAGCCTCCTTTAACTTAGCGGTGGTGACGTGAAGTCATGTGACCGTGCTGTAGTTTATTTATAGCCTATCGTTAGCTTTTTACTTCAGAAATCATAAAGTGGTGTTAGTATGTGGAGATTATCCTACTGAACGTGTAAGTATCATAAACGATGCTGCCTTCAGGGTCCATCACTACCGATATATCTCCCAGTTCTTCCCCCTCACCTCCTCTTTGAGCTGCTCCTCAGTCTTGCCCACCCAGGCCACCTCGGGGTGGGTGTAGATGACGGAGGGGACGCAGTTGTAGTCGATGTGCACGGCTCCGCCCGCCATGCCCTCCACGCAGATGATGCCCTCGTCCTCTGCTTTGTGGGCCAACATCGGGCCGGCGATCACATCCCCGATCGCAAAAATACTGAGAGAGAGAGAGAGAGAGAGAGAGAGAGAGAGAGAGACAGAGACAGAGAGAGAGAGACAGAGACAGAGACAGAGACAGAGACAGAGACAGAGACAGAGACAGAGACAGAGAGAGAGAGAGAGAGAGAGAGAGAGAGAGAGAGAGAGAGAGAGAGATGTTAAATGTTTTAATATCCTCTATATCTGACTTTTTCTGAAAATCGAAAAACTTTATCCTCAAAATTCTGACTTTGTCCTTTCAGAATCTCTTTACACAGAGGGGACACGTGTTTATTTATAAAAAACATTAATATGTGCATTTTGCATGATAGGAGACCTTCAAATAACACGTAGCTATCGGGTACCTGGGCACGCTGGTCTGGAAGCGCCCGTTGACAGGGATTCTTCCTCTGTTGTCCAGCTCGATGCCCACAGAGTCCAGGCCGAGGCTCTGAGTGAACGGCCGTCTGCCGACACACACCAGCAGCACGTCGCAGGTCAGAGTCTGGTTCTTCCCTCCAGCTGCTGCCTCCACTCTGAAACACACACAGGGTCACAACATGGCTGCTGCCTCCACTCTGAAACACACACAGGGTCACAACATGGCTGCTGCCTCCACTCTGAAACACACACAGGGTCACAACATGGCTGCTGCCTCCACTCTGAAACACACACAGGGTCACAACATGGCTGCTGCCTCCACTCTGAAACACACACAGGGTCACAACATGGCTACTGCCTCCACTCTGAAACACACACAGGGTCACAACATGGCTGCTGCCTCCACTCTGAAACACACACAGGGTTACAACATGGCTACTGCCTCCACTCTGAAGAACACACACAGTGGTCACAACATGGCTGCGCCTCCACTCTGAAACACACACAGGGTCACAACATGGCTGCTGCCTCCACTCTGAAACACACAACAGGTGTCACAACATGGCTGCTGCCTCCACTCTGAAACACACACCAGGGTCACAACAATGGCTGCTGCCTCCACTCTGAAAACACACACAGGGTCACAACATGGCTGCTGCCTCCACTCTGAAACACACACAGGGTCACAACATTGCTGCTGCCTCCACCTCTGAAACCACACACAGGGTCACAACATGGCTGCTGCCTCACTCTGAAACACACACAGGGTCACACCACATGGCTGCTGCCTCCACTCTGAAACCCACACAGGGTCACAACATGGCTGCTGCCTCCACTCTGAAACACACACAGGGTCACAACATGGCTGCTGCTGAACACAGGTCCAGGCTCATGAAACACACACAGGGTCACAACATGGCTGCTGCCTCCACTCTGAAACACACACACAGGGTCACAACATGGCTGCTGCCTCCACTCTGAAACACACACACAGGGTCACAACATGGCTGCTGCCTCCACTCTGAAACACACACAGGGTCACAACATGGCTGCTGCCTCCACTCTGAAACACACACACAGGGTCACAACATGGCTGCTGCCTCCACTCTGAAACACACACAATCTAAAAAAAATCTGACTTTTTCTAAAATGTCAATTTTGACTTTTTCTAAAAAATGTCAAAATTCAAACTTTTTCTAAAAATCAAAAACTTTTGACTTTTTCTAAAAATGTCAAAATTCTGACTTTTTCTCAAAATGAAGAAATGTTTTCTGTATATTGACCTCTGTCTTCTGTCATATTATAAAATGCCCACATATCAGATTGTACTGTCACCCTGCAGTCACTAACCATCCCATCACCTCAGGGCAGCTGAGAATGATCCCATATACATATCTTCACAAAAGCTGCTGGTTCTAAACCAGGAAGAACTAAGACATAAACCATGTGAACAGGAAGTGGGGAAAGGGGGCGGGGCTACAGAAGGAGTTGGACTCACGCCACGTCGATCTTGCCGTCGGGCCGGCGCGTGGCGCCCATCACTTTCGTGCTGAGTTTGAACTTCAGGCCCTGTTTCTGCAGAATCCTCTGGAAGGTCTTAGACATCTCCATATCGATCCCCATGCCTCCAACGTGGCCCAGAAACTCCACCGCCGTCACTTTAGAGCCCAGACGCTGCCACACTGACCCCTGCAGGACGGGAGGGGAACACACAGAGTCAGGGAGGGGAACACAGAGAGAGTCAGGGAGGGGAACACACAGAGTCAGGGAGGGGAACACAGAGAGAGTCAGGGAGGGGAACACACAGAGTCAGGGAGGGGAACACACAGAGAGTCAGGGAGGGGAACACACAGAGTCAGGGAGGGGAACACAGAGAGAGTCAGGGAGGGGAACACACAGAGTCAGGGAGGGGAACACAGAGAGAGTCAGGGAGGGGAACACACAGAGTCAGGGAGGGGAACACACAGAGTCAGGGAGGGGAACACACAGAGTCAGGGAGGGGAACACACAGAGTCAGGGAGGGGAACACAGAGAGAGTCAGGGAGGGGAACACACAGAGTCAGGGAGGGGAACACACAGAGTCAGGGAGGGGAACACACAGAGTCAGGGAGGGGAACACAGAGAGAGTCAGGGAGGGGAACACAGAGTCAGGGGAGGGGAACACAGAGAGAGTCAGGGAGGGGAACACACAGAGTCAGGGAGGGGAACACAGAGAGAGTCAGGGAGGGGAACACACAGAGAGTCAGGGAGGGGAACACACAGAGTCAGGGAGGGGAACACACAGAGTCAGGGAGGGGAACACACAGAGTCAGGGAGGGGAACACACAGAGTCAGGGAGGGGAACACACAGAGAGTCAGGGAGGGGAACACACAGAGTCAGGGAGGGGAACACACAGAGAGTCAGGGAGGGGAACACACAGAGTCAGGGAGGGGAACACACAGAGAGTCAGGGAGGGGAACACACAGAGAGTCAGGGAGGGGAACACAGAGAGTCAGGGAGGGGAACACACAGAGTCAGGGAGGGGAACACACAGAGTCAGGGAGGGGAACACACAGAGTCAGGGAGGGGAACACAGAGAGAGTCAGGGAGGGGAACACAGAGAGTCAGGGAGGGGAACACACAGAGTCAGGGAGGGGAACACACAGAGTCAGGGAGGGGAACACACACAGAGTCAGGGAGGGGAACACACAGAGTCAGGGAGGGGAACACAGAGAGAGTCAGGGAGGGGAACACACAGAGTCAGGGAGGGGAACACACAGAGTCAGGGAGGGGAACACACAGAGAGTCAAAAGCTCTGCATTTTTTGAAAAAAGTCAGATTTCTTTTGAAACGTCTGTTTTTCGTCAATTTTTTTTTTATAATTCAGATTTTTTGAAAAAAAATCTGAATCTTTGGCTAAAAGTCATAATTTTTAGAAAAAAGTCATAATTTTGAGATTTTAGAAAAAAAGTCATAATTTTAAGGAAAAAGTCATAATTTTAAGTTTTTTGAAAGTCAATTCTGTTTTAAAAAAGTCAGTATTTTTAGAAATAAGATGTTTATTAGAACAAATTAGATTGTGCATCCTTATGATCGAAACACTAGGATCAAACGCCTGCGAGGTTATCAACTCCTTTTATTGATGCCGGAATGTTTTTCTGACAAATTGCAAAAAGTAGCTAAAATAAGTTTTGAGCACATTAATAATAATTTACTTTTGGCAGCTTTTGTGTGGTATTCCACAAAAGCTGTCTTTTCTCGTAGAATGTGCTCTACATTGGTAACATTTCTTCCTGGTTCATACGTTATGAAAGCACCGATAAAAGCTCTAAAAGATTTAATTGTTTGTGTCTGTTTTTAGGCTCAGATTTGATGTTTTTTCTCAGTTCAATACGGAGATGCTAACCAGCTCCACTCCGATGACTCCGGCTCCGATCACGATCATCTCCTCGGGAACTTTGTTCAGAGACAACGCTCCCGTCGACGACACCACGGTCTCCTCATCGATCTAAAGTAAACACATTGTCAAACAGGCTTACAGTTTCTCACTTTGCTTTCCAGGAGACGCATTTCTGCTGCTCCAAAATACACATTGACTTCACTTTATATGATCGCTCAAGCGTACCAGGATGCCGGGGAAAGGCGTGACCTCGGAGCCGGTGGCGAGCAGGATGTTTTTGGAGTTGATGACCTGCTCGCTGCCGTCAGCCGTCACCGCCGTCACCTGGTTTTTCCCCGAAATCCGCCCATATCCGTTCACATGGGTCACCTGACGGAGAGAAGAGAACATATCTTTATTGTCATCATACAAAGTACAACGACATGACTTTGGCAACTCTCACTGCAGTAAAAAATAGACACAAATAAATAAGAGTAGAAAAACGGAAGAGCGGTTATTTAAAGGACTATATTCATCCCAAAATCAAAATGGAATACTACAGCGGGACAATACACTGATGTTAAAGAAATATAGACATTTGGTTGCGGTCATCTTCGTACGATACGATAATACTGCGTCAGATCGAGTCTGACATGTTTTCTCGCATCACAGCAGCTCCATTTGCAACATCAACAAGGACTAATATCAACACAGACTACAAGGGAACAGACTTCACTTGTTTCTCTCAGGAAGGTTCCCAACGGAGCGAAGTAATGACCCTTTAGTCTCTGATGCCCCTTTCACACCAGCGCGGCTCCCGGTCTGGCTCCTCTTGCGCTCTTCTGGTTCGGAACCGGTTTTTATTTTCAGCCCCCGTTTTGTTCCCACCGCCCAGAGCCCGGCTGGTGCTGCGTCATCGTTTGCGTCATGACGTAACCGTTTACGTGCCTGCTTCATAAAGCCAAACCGCGCGGAAACCCATCACATCGACAACAATGGCCGATTGTATTGAAGCGCTGCTCGGTTTGCTTTGTCCAAACCAAATGGAAATAATAGGACGACTTCACCACAAACTCCCCATTCGTCACACGCGACTTTCAAATGTTCTTTGACCGAATCTAGCAAGTCATAATGTGGACTTGTTTTCGGACGACCGCTGCCACTCCGTCCGAGGTCTCGCTTTTGGTCCCGATAATCCTTCTTAACTTTTTTCAGTTTGTTGCAAATCTGGTCCAAAGTTTGGGGTTTTCCCTCGTTGTGTACAAACTAGGGGTCGACCGATATTCCGCATTTGACCGATTATCGGTATCGGCCTTTTTTTTAATAATCAAATTGCCGATAAAACTTTGGCTCTGATGCGGCCGTTTCTCTGGCTGCAGTCACCACTCTGTGTACACGAGCAATGTCCCGCCCACAGCGCTATCTGATAGGCTATTACTGAAGTGTCAATCAACACTGAAGATTTTCCGGGCGGGAGCCAGAGAGGCGGGACCTTCTCAGATTACAGGCAGGTGCGAAGAACGCAGACACAGACAGAGGCAAGCAGCAGCGCTGAGCGGCAGAGCCATACATGTGTTAAACCGAAGTTCAATAAACAGGGGGGGAGCTATGTGAAGCTCATTAGCTAGCCAACATGTATCTAGCAATGTTTAGCAAAATATTAGAAGTGAGGCTCCTAGACTAACGTTAGGTCTACTGTGATAGCCTCACTTTGAATAGTTTGCAAAACATTAGCTAGCACTAGTGTTTTGCAGCAGCTTATTGGGATTGTATGCTAGATAGACGGCATTGTTTTGATATAATGAATTAAGCATTATTGTTAGTTGCACAGAGAGGAAACCAGTTGTAAGATGTTTTAAAGTTCATTAAACATAATATATGCTTAAATGCATTTCAAAGAAGTTGAGTTGGAGTTTGTGTTATTCTACATTTTGACAAAGATATCGGTTCCAAATATCGGTTATCGTCTCCTTGATTACTAATAATCGGTATCGGCCTTGAAAAAGCCATATCGGTCGATCCCTAGTACAAACAGGGCAAAACGTGGGCTTGTTGTTGTTGTTCAGGAGGTTGATCCCGCCCATGCCCCCGCCTCCGACGTAAGCGTGACGTATGCGGTTCTTGCTTCTAGACCGACAATTTTTTTGGAGCTTGGTAAGAACCGGTTTTCGGGGGAAAGACCCGGCTCCGCTGCGGCGTGAACGGGGAAACCGGTGCTTACCATCAGGCTCTAGCTCCGAACCGGCCCTGGAACCGCGTTGGTGTGAAAGGGGCAGAACTGTCAGCCATAAAAACAGCTATTTTAATTCTCTTGATTATAGGAAAGGAGCTTCAATGCTTCCTTTATAATCTCCTTAAGGACACACTGGACCATCCTTTAGGATACATCTTAGAAAGCTTATTGTTATTTATTGCTTTAATACTAAGTTTCCTTTGTATTATGCAAAGAAGGAAAGGAGTGTCATGTGTGCAAAGTGCGTCTGGTTAGATGATCAGACTCTTGATAAGACGTGAGTGAACAACAGTTGGAGGGGAAGTGGAGTCTGACCTTGTTCTGTTTGAAGAGATGAGCGATTCCTCCGGTCAGAGCTTTGACCGCTCCGCTCTTCTGAGCCATCATCTTCTCCAGGTTCAACGTGAGGCCTGCAACTGAACACAGCACAACACGCATTAATACATTTTAATTAGCAGTCCAAATGGTCAGTGTATAGGCTGCGGCTCAGCGGGGAGTGCGCTGATCTTTTGGATAATATAAATACTTATTTCCCACAGTTTGTATCTTTTATATAATGTCCATGTCTGGATTTTCTTTTTGATATTCTCTCTCTCTCTCATTAGTAAAAATAAACCGACCATTACAAATATAGACTGTTCATTTCTTTGTAAGGGGGTAAACCTCAGTGTCGAACCGTCAGGGCCTTCAAGGTATCCAGAGAACACCCTGGAACACTCGGGTAAAACAAACAAAAAATCAATTTAATTATATAAATAAAATGTAATAAAATGAATAAATGAGGTATCCGTGTTGTTGATCTGTAATATCACAGTGTTACGTTGATTTGTTTGTCCTTCTCGGACCATGCACTACGCATTTCAGTGGTTTTGTGTTAGAAAAGCAACCAATCAGATCTCGTTCTGGGTCTCTGGGTAGAATATCCTTCAACCAGGTATTCTACATCCTTGATCGAAGGCCCTGGCCGTTGCACTGAATGAGAGCGTACGTTTGGACTGACAGTTTGATCAACCAATCATATATTGATTTGTAGCTAATGGGCGTATTCTTTCAGAGTTCCCCTCGGTTCCAGGGTATTCTAGAAGGCCCGCTAGTTAACCGGCTCGAGGCAGAGGAGCTAGATGCGACGAAGCAATTCATGCTGTTTTATTGTTTTTAACGTTGAAATGGCAAGAGCAACAGGTGGAGATGAAGTTGTTGCGGAGTTGTTGTGAGTTCCCTTTTCAAGACGACAATTCAGTGAAAAGACGGACATTATAACGCCGCGGAGGGGCGGGGGGGGGTGTGTGTGTCTACAGAAGGTCCAGTTGTGATAGACACGGTTCGCCACTGGTTAACCTCCACAATCGGAAAGGGATCAAATACTTATTTCCTCCACTGTCGGTCGCTTTGGGAAAACGCGTCTAACAGTCTAATGCACTCATTCTGAAAACCATTAAACATGAACGTATGTGTACATTTGAATTAAAAGCCGTGTGTAGTTCAATGGAAAGACACGTTATTGGCTGATAATGACTGTATTTACTTAATTTAAAGAGGTCACATATTCAAGATGTGCCGAGTCTTAAAATCATAATTAGTTTTCTATTCAAATGGAAAAACATGTTTATTGGCTAATTATCAATTTGTTTTTTGTTGTGAATAATAAATATACAACGTCTTACATCGTAATAAAGTCATTAAGTCATTAGTGAGAGATTTTTGTAAAACATGATGATCATATCGTGAAAACACAACTCCACTAGAAAAATACTGAACAATCAAATCTATCAAATGAGCAGAAACCAAAACAGTGTACTGGATTACAGCTAAATCACCCGTCTTCCTATTTAGTTATTTAATAATTGTATTCATACTTCATTCATATTATGAAACTCTGGGCTTATGTCTGAAAAACAAGACGTTTATAGACTTTCGCTAAGGGACAGTGTAATGGACATTTTCCACACTTTTATAGCAGTGTTCATTTTAGTCTTAAGACGAAAAAGGTTATTAGTTTGAGTCACATTTTAGTCCTTTGTATCCTTCATAGTTTTAGTCTAGTTTTAGTCGACGACAACTCAAAACATTTTAGTCCAGTTTTACTCGATGAAAAATCATTTCATTTTAGTCAAAATGTTTTCTCTCTTTAAACCAATTCAGTTCGGCAAACACAGGAATCTGACATTGGAATCAAGGTGACAGCATCAAGTGTTGAAAGTCGTTGAGAAACATTTCCCTCTCTTAACACTTGTGTAATATCTAGGGATGGGTATCGTTAAGGTTTTTAACGGTACTACTACTCTTAAAAATCTGTGTGCACACCGCTGCAGCTTGTCTGTTAGGCCCCGCCCCCCAGAGAGAGAGTGAGGCCCCGCCCCCGCGCACACAGAGAGAGAGGCCTCGCCCCCCGCACACAGAGCGAGAGAGGCCCTCGCCCCCCCCCACACAGAGAGAGAGAGAGAGGCCCCGCCCCCCGCACACAGAGAGAGAGAGAGAGGCCCCAATAGACAACACTATCTGAAAGCTTCCTCGGGGTTAAACTGAATTATTTTAAACATGTTGGTGAGGTTTCTTACTTTCGATGCCTCTGCTCTCAAAGTCCTTGCCGTGAGCCATGTGGTACAGATAGGAGTTATTCAGCAGAGCCTGCGAACACAACACATCCATTAAGGAACTTTTCCCATCATATTTATTCTGTCGTTCGATGCATCTTATGAGTGTGTATAACTCTTCCAGACTTCCAGATGTGCTTTAACGGATACTTCCTGTTTTTGCTGCATCTCAGGCACAGATTAAACATTTTAATGGAAATAAAGTCAGTGTGTTACCTTGGAGGGGATGCAGCCCACGTTCAGACAGGTCCCTCCCAGCGTGGCATTTTTCTCCACACAGACTGTCTGTCAGAGGGAGAGGCACGGTACAAATGTAGACGTTTAATAGGAAGGTAGGTAGGACTGACTTGTTGTTTGTTTTGAAGCACCAACATTGTCATTCTGACGGTAACGGACGTGGTGTTTTTGTTTTCTTTTTACCTTGAAGCCGAGCTGTGCAGCTTTGATGGCGGCGACGTACCCTCCGGGCCCTGAACCCACCACCGTGACGTCTGCATCGACTACAGACACAGAAACTCTCATCAATAATCCGTAACATCACATAACAAAACAGGCTCTGATGTGATTGGTCAACAGCTCAGAGATGTCCCGCCCCTTAGCCTATCAGGTACAATGTGTTGGAGCGCATGAGTGATGTAAGATAAGACTTACTTTAAGTCATTTATTTGTGTTTAATAGATTAAAGTAAATGAAAACGACTTTATAAAGATAAAGACGTATCCACGACTTATTCCTTTACAGAACGACTCGCAGAAATGGACTATTAGTACATTTGTATACACTGAAACAAATCCAAGACGGATAAATAATGGACATTTCTGTTACAAGAAACGGATTAATAGTGATTCTGATAAAAAGAAACTCCTCAGGCGCTGGCACGTTGACAAGCAAACATGTTGACAATTTGGGAAATGTTTGCATTGCATAAAAAGCCAAGGCATTGCACATACAACCCGTTCATACACCTTTTCACCCATGACTCCAGGACCTTCACCTCATTTTCCATGACCAGAAAAAGTACTCAGTTCCACTGAAAATGGTTTATTTGAACACGGAACAGGAAAATCAGGTCTGAAACATGTTGCGCCTAAAACAAATCCAATAGGCTAACTAGCTTCAGGCTAAAGCAACTCAAATCTCTCACCAGCAAAACACCTCGTCAGCTAAAAGCCATTCTACGTTTCATTACTAGGGCTGCAACAAACGACTAATTTGATAATCGATTAATGAAACGATTAATCGACTATCATGCCTTGCACAATTTCTCAAACGCTCTTAGTTAGCCATCAACTTTTAGATTTAGCTCGAGGTTGTTTCAGGCATGTGGAAACTAACAAGACAATAAAGATGAATGCTTGATTCAAAAATACATATATTATTAAATTAAATAAACACATTTTGAACAAAAGTAACATTGCTTTTTATTTAAATTAAATACATAATATTTCCAATAAAAGACCGATAACGTTGGAGCTTAGCGTAAAACACACGTGATGACGTCACCAACGAATCGACGACTGAATTAGTTGGTAACTAATTTGGTAATAGATTTTAATCGATTAAGTCGATTAGTTGTTGCACCCCTACTCATTACGATACAGTATTTATTATCATTATAGTATTGCATATATATATTCCGTGAATAGCTGCTACTTCTTCAGAACAGTTACAGGCTGTGTATTTTTGTATTTTGTGTAATTCTTTTATCTTTAATATTTGTTTTTGTTGTCGTTGTTAAACATTAAACTGTTTTTGGCTCTTTTTCTGCTGGAGCAAAAGTACATTCCCCCTCTGTGGGACGAATAAAGCTTTTCTGATTCTGATTGCTATTTCTGCGATTAGATCAAATATAAATTATATTTGATGCAACTTTAATTACATTTCCATGACTTTCCCAGGTGTTTAACGACCGTACGATCCCTGTTAGAAATTAAAAGAGTAGAAATAAACACTTCAAAATGTAAATATCTCAAATAGAAATAAAGTAGCATTAAAAAAGTTGATTTGAAATTCAAATGTAAACTAAATGTATAAAGCAGGATATTATATACACATTATTTACATGTCACTGTGTTACAGAACAAAGTGTCCACAGGGATTTTAGCGTCTGCAGACCATTTACATGCACTAACACCTGTATAACTAGAGGAGAGGGAAAGCCAAGAAAAGCACAGTATGACCCTTTTTAAATGCCTGAGGTCCAATGTCTGGAGAATGTGTAAACTTTAACCGACACTATCGCACATATGAAGACATGAAGAAGAGGGGACACATGTTGATGTAGAAGAGACATGAAGAAGAGGGGACACATGTTGATGTAGAAGAGACATGAAGAAGAGGGGACACATGATGTAGAGGAGACACGAAGAAGAGGGGACACATGTTGATGTAGAAGAGACATGAAGAAGAGGGGACACATGTTGATGTAGAAGAGACATGAAGAAGAGGGGACACATGTTGATGTAGAAGAGACATGAAGAAGAGGGGACACATGTTGATGTAGAAGAGACATGAAGAAGAGGGGACACATGTTGATGTAGAAGAGACATGAAGAAGAGGGGACACATGTTGATGAAGAAGAGACATGAAGAAGAGGGGACACATGTTGATGTAGAAGAGACATGAAGAAGAGGGGACACATGATGTAGAGGAGACACGAAGAAGAGGGGACACATGTTGATGTAGAAGAGACATGAAGAAGAGGGGACACATGTTGATGTAGAAGAGACATGAAGAAGAGGGGGACACATGTTGATGTAGAAGAGACATGAAGAAGAGGGGACACATGTTGATGTAGAAGAGACATGAAGAAGAGGGGACACATGTTGATGTAGAAGAGACATGAAGAAGAGGGGACACATGTTGATGAAGAAGAGACATGGAAGAAGAGGGGACACATGTTGATGTAGAAGAGACATGAAGAGAGGGGACACATGTTGATGTAGAAGAGACATGAAGAAGAGGGGACACATGTTGATGAAGAAGAGACATGAAGAAGAGGGGACACATGTTGATGTAGAAGAGACATGAAGAAGAGGGGACACATGTTGATGTAGAAGAGACATGAAGAAGAGGGGACACATGTTGATGAAGAAGAGACATGAAGAAGAGGGGGACACATGTTGATGTAGAAGAGACATGAAGAAGAGGGGACACATGTTTGATGTAAGAAGAGACATGAAGAAGAGGGGACACATGTTGATGTAGAAGAGACATGAAGAAGAGGGGACACATGTTGATGTAGAAGAGACATGAAGAAGAGGGGACCACATGTTGATGTAGAAGAGACATGAAGAAGAGGGGACACATGTTGATGTAGAAGAGACATGAAGAAGAGGGGACACATGTTGATGTAGAAGAGACACGAAGAAGAGGGGACACATGTTGATGTAGAAGAGACACGAAGAAGAGGGGACACATGTTGATGTAGAAGAGACATGAAGAAGAGGGGACACATGTTGATGTAGAAGAGACACTGAAGAAGAGGGGACACATGTTGATGTAGAAGAGACATGAAGAAGAGGGGACACATGTTGATGTAGAAGAGACATGAAGAAGAGGGGACACAGTTGATGTAGAAGAGACATGAAGAAGAGGGGACACATGTTGATGTAGAAGAGACACTGAAGAAGAGGGGACACATGTTGATGTAGAAGAGACATGAAAGAAGAGGGGACACATGTTGATGTAGAAGAGACTATGAAGAAGAGGGGACACATGTTGATGTAGAAGAGACATGAAGAAGAGGGGGACACATGTTGATGTAGAAGAGACATGAAGAAGAGGGGACACATGTTGATGTAGAAGAGACATGAAGAAGAGGGGACACATGTTGATGTAGAAGAGACATGAAGAAGAGGGGACACATGTTGATGTAGAAGAGACATGAAGAAGAGGGGACACATGGTGATGTAGAGGAGACATGAGGAAGAGGGGACACGTGTTGATGTAGAAGAGACATGAAGAAGAGGGGACACATGTTGATGAAGAAGAGACTTGAAGAAGAGGGGACACATGTTGATGTAGAAGAGACATGAAGAAGAGGGGACACGTGTTGATGTAGAAGAGACTTGAAGAAGAGGGGACACATGTTGATGTAGAAGAGACTTGAAGAAGAGGGGACACACGTTGATGTAGAAGAGACATGAGGAAGAGGGGACACATGTTGATGTAGAAGAGACTTGAAGAAGAGGGGACACATGTTGATGTAGAAGAGACTTGAAGAAGAGGGGACACATGTTGATGTAGAAGAGACTTGAAGAAGAGGGGACACATGTTGATGTAGAAGAGACATGAGGAAGAGGGGACACACGTTGATGTAGAAGAGACATGAAGAAGAGGGGACACATGTTGATGTAGAAGAGACTTGAAGAAGAGGGGACACATGTTGATGTAGAAGAGACATGAAGAAGAGGGGACACATGTTGATGTAGAAGAGACATGGAGAAGAGGGGACACACGTTGATGTAGAAGAGACATGAAGAAGAGGGGACACATGTTGATGTAGAAGAGACTTGAAGAAGAGGGGACACATGTTGATGTAGAAGAGACATGAAGAAGAGGGGACACACGTTGATGTAGAAGAGACATGAAGAAGAGGGGACACATGTTGATGTAGAAGAGACTTGAAGAAGAGGGGACACATGTTGATGTAGAAGAGACATGAAGAAGAGGGGACACATGTTGATGTAGAAGAGACATGGAGAAGAGGGGACATATGTTGATGTAGAAGAGACATGAGGAAGAGGGGACACATGTTGATGTAGAAGAGACTTGAAGAAGAGGGGACACATGTTGATGTAGAAGAGACATGAGGAAGAGGGGACACATGTTGATGTAGAGGAGACATGAAGAAGAGGGGACACATGTTGATGTAGAAGAGACATGAAGAAGAGGGGACACATGTTGATGAAGAAGAGACATGAAGAAGAGGGGACACATGTTGATGTAGAAGAGACATGAAGAAGAGGGGACACATGTTGATGAAGAAGAGACATGAAGAAGAGGGGACACATGTTGATGTAGAAGAGACATGAGGAAGAGGGGACACATGTTGATGTAGAAGAGACTTGAAGAAGAGGGGACACATGTTGATGTAGAGGAGACATGAGGAAGAGGGGACACATGTTGATGTAGAGGAGACATGAGGAAGAGGGGACACATGTTGATGTAGAAGAGACATGAAGAAGAGGGGACACATGTTGATGTAGAAGAGACATGAAGAAGAGGGGACACATGTTGATGTAGAGGAGACATGGAGAAGAGGGGACACATGTTGATGTAGAAGAGACATGAAGAAGAGGGGACACATGTTGATGTAGAAGAGACATGAGGAAGAGGGGACACATGTTGATGTAGAAGAGACATGAAGAAGAGGGGACACATGTTGATGTAGAAGAGACATGAGGAAGAGGGGACACATGTTGATGTAGAAGAGACATGAAGAAGAGGGGACACATGTTGATGTAGAAGAGACATGAAGAAGAGGGGACACATGTTGATGTAGAGGAGACATGGAGAAGAGGGGACACATGTTGATGTAGAAGAGACATGAGGAAGAGGGGACACGTGTTGATGTAGAAGAGACATGGAGAAAAGGGGACACATGTTGATGTAGAAGAGACATGAAGAAGAGGGGACACATGTTGATGTAGAAGAGACATGAGGAAGAGGGGACACATGTTGATGTAGAGGAGACATGAGGAAGAGGGGACACATGTTGATGTAGAAGAGACATGAGGAAGAGGGGACACGTGTTGATGTAGAAGAGACATGAAGAAGAGGGGACACATGTTGATGTAGAGGAGACATGAGGAAGAGGGGACACATGTTGATGTAGAAGAGACATGAGGAAGAGGGGACACATGTTGATGTAGAGGAGACATGAGGAAGAGGGGACACATGTTGATGTAGAAGAGACATGAAGAAGAGGGGACACATGTTGATGTAGAAGAGACATGAAGAAGAGGGGACACATGTTGATGAAGAAGAGGGGACACATGTTGATGTAGAAGAGACATGAAGAAGAGGGGACACATGTTGATGTAGAAGAGACATGAAGAAGAGGGGACACATGTTGATGAAGAAGAGGGGACACATGTTGATGTAGAAGAGACATGAAGAAGAGGGGACACATGTTGATGTGGAAGAGACATGAAGAAGAGGGGACACATGTTGATGTAGAAGAGACATGAAGAAGAGGGGACACATGTTGATGAAGAAGAGACATGGAGAAGAGGGGACACATGTTGATGTAGAAGAGACATGAAGAAGAGGGGACACATGTTGATGTAGAAGAGACATGAAGAAGAGGGGACACATGTTGATGTAGAGGAGACATGAAGAAGAGGGGACACATGTTGATGTAGAAGAGACATGAAGAAGAGGGGACACATGTTGATGTAGAAGAGACATGAAGAAGAGGGGACACATGTTGATGTAGAAGAGACATGAAGAAGAGGGGACACATGTTGATGTAGAAGAGACATGAAGAAGAGGGGACACATGTTGATGTAGAAGAGACACGAAGAAGAGGGGACACATGTTGATGTAGAAGAGACATGAAGAAGAGGGGACACATGTTGATGTAGAAGAGACATGAAGAAGAGGGGACACATGTTGATGTAGAAGAGACATGAAGAAGAGGGGACACATGTTGATGTAGAAGAGACATGAAGAAGAGGGGACACATGTTGATGTAGAAGAGACAGTGAAGAAGAGGGGACACATGTTGATGTAGAAGAGACATGAAGAAGAGGGGACACATGTTGATGTAGAAGAGACATGAAGAAGAGGGGACACATGTTGATGTAGAAGAGACACGAAGAAGAGGGGACACATGTTGATGTAGAAGAGACACGAAGAAGAGGGGACACATGTTGATGTAGAAGAGACATGAAGAAGAGGGGACACATGTTGATGTAGAAGAGACACGAAGAAGAGGGGACACATGTTGATGTAGAAGAGACATGGAGAAGAGGGGCCACATGTTGATGTAGAAGAGACATGAAGAAGAGGGGACACATGTTGATGTAGAAGAGACACGAAGAAGAGGGGACACATGTTGATGTAGAAGAGACACGAAGAAGAGGGGACACATGTTGATGTAGAAGAGACATGAAGAAGAGGGGACACATGTTGATGTAGAAGAGACATGAAGAAGAGGGGACACATGTTGATGTAGAAGAGACACGAAGAAGAGGGGACACATGTTGATGTAGAAGAGACACGAAGAAGAGGGGACACATGTTGATGTAGAAGAGACATGAAGAAGAGGGGACACATGTTGATGTAGAAGAGACATGAAGAAGAGGGGACACATGTTGATGTAGAAGAGACATGAAGAAGAGGGGACACATGTTGATGTAGAAGAGACATGAAGAAGAGGGGACACATGTTGATGTAGAAGAGACACGAAGAAGAGGGGACACATGTTGATGTAGAAGAGACACGAAGAAGAGGGGACACATGTTGATGTAGAAGAGACATGAAGAAGAGGGGACACATGTTGATGTAGAAGAGACATGAAGAAGAGGGGACACATGTTGATGTAGAAGAGACATGGAGAAGAGGGGACACATGTTGATGTAGAAGAGACATGGAGAAGAGGGGACACATGTTGATGTAGAAGAGACATGAAGAAGAGGGGACACATGTTGATGTAGAAGAGACATGAAGAAGAGGGGACACATGTTGATGTAGAAGAGACATGGAGAAGAGGGGACACATGTTGATGTAGAAGAGACATGAAGAAGAGGGGACACATGTTGATGTAGAAGAGACATGAAGAAGAGGGGGACACATGTTGATGTAGAAGAGACATGAAGAAGAGGGGACACATGTTGATGTAGAAGAGACACGAAGAAGAGGGGACACATGTTGATGTAGAAGAGACACGAAGAAGAGGGGACACATGTTGATGTAGAAGAGACATGGAGAAGAGCATTTGAACAACAGGTGACCTTTAAACCAGACGGTGAGTAGACTCGGTCATCTTACTTGCAGCTTTGTCGGCGTAGCTTCTGACGGACAGCGCTGCAGCTCCGTGCAGTTTGCAGGGAAGCTGGTGGCTCCGCTGAGACACAAGAGGAAAGAAGTGAGAAAAATAACATTTCAAAGATTGTGAAAAGCACAAAACAATCCAGGGTCACGATCCAAACGCTGCACTGGAATTATCCAAAAACGTGTTATTCTGTTAATGAATTGTTTATTTGTCAGTGGCTTGAAGCTTGAAGCTTCTCAGACTTGACAATCGACTGCTTGTTATTTATTTTGTGCATTTCCTTGACTTTAACTTCCTCCTCCAGCCGCTGAAAGACATGTTTCCTCCATTACAGGGACATTCAATGGACCCGAAATCTATCATTCTTGTCTAGGACATCTTGGTATGACATGTCCTGATCCTTAAGCGAGTCTTCATCAAATAAAATGTGAAACAAGCTTTTAAAAATGATGCAATTCAGTGACAGAAATGATCAGTAATCAGTGTCACCTAATTGAGATCACTTCCTCACGAGGCAAACAAATGAGCACAGGTGTAAAATACTATATTTATGTGTAGACTATAAGTAAAACCTGCGTGTTTAATAGATTAAAGTCAATTAAAACGACTTCATAAAGAAACAAACGTATCCACGACTTATTCCTTTACAGAAATCGACTATTTTGTAAATGTTAGACCTTTTTATACACTGAAACTAATCCAAGACAGATACATAATCTGTTACAAACATCGGATTAATAATGATTCTGATTCAAAGAAACCTCAACAGGCTCCTCGTGCGTTGGCACGTTGACAAGCAAACATAAATGAAATTTAGATATTTGATAGTAATAATGAATATAGCTTACAAATACAGGAATAAAGTGTTCTATTGAGGTCATGTGAGGACACAGCTTCTTCATTAAGAAGGCCCACTGACACCTCAGCCACTCTATAGACTTTATATATATTGCATTAATACACTTTTTTGTTTGTATTCCTTTTATTTAAGAAGGGCCAGTTCTGCAAAACCCTATATATTATGTTATTTGTACACAAGCTACCTCTCTGAGTATCTTATAAGCTTTCCACTTTCATAACAATACTGCCCTTATTCTATTATTCAGGGTACTTTGTGATACTATACTGTCCGTAGCTTCTCTAGATTTCATCTCAATCATTGTCTACATATTAACATATAATAGGTTTTTATCATTGTTTTTATTAATTTGCTTGTGTTTCTTTCTTACTTGTTAGATCCTTTAACTGTGTGCACCAAGCACACCAAGGCCAATTCCTAGTATGTGTAAACCCACTTGTCAATAAACCTGGTTCTGGTTTGAGCCTCTGACATAAACTATCATTGGGCAACCACCAGTGCTAACTAGCTTAGCATGCTAACGTCAACGTTACATCTCTCCATATTCACCAACTCATTTTTATTAAACTAGGGGACTATTTAAGGTCATTTTTGCTTAAGCCGAATTAAAATTAACATTTCGAGTTGTTTAAAAAACGTTTAAAACCCATATTAAATTATATATTTCGTTACCAAACACAACTACAACTCTTAAATGGCAGGTTTTTCTAGGCGAGTCTGGCGTTCATAAGACTTAACAGAGGTGAAAGCTAACAGGCCCGGGTCCGTAATTCTAGAGATAGCAGTGGAAACAACAACTGGGACCATTAGTAAACCTATCCAGACAACACATAGTGGTTAGTAGGTAAATAAAGGTGTTCTTACCGTGGCCAGAGAGCGGTAAACCTGCGTCCAGCTCTGCATGTTGACTCCGGATCTGTATCTGTAACCTCCAGCGGGCCGAACAGCCAAGGACTACTCACAGTGCGCATGCGCAGTACCAGTGCGGAAAAAATGCCTTGACGTTTTCTTCTTCGTGCACTGTTGTGTTTATTGGCAGACCGCAAACCAACTTTAAACGGACATATCGCCACCTAGTGTATGAATAAGGAATAATGGCATTACATTATAAAGACCCCTTTATATGTACCGTAATTTGGTCAAATAACGACCCCTTACCAGAGGTGTAAAGTTACATTTACTCAATTACTTGAGTACATTTTGAGGTACTTGTACTTTACTTGAGTATTTCCATGTTATGCTACTTTTACTCTACAGTCCAGGGGTGCCCAACCTGTCGATCGCGATCGACCGGTCGATCGCGGGGAGATTCCCAGTCGATCGCGAGATGTGTCTAAAAATAGAACAACAATATTCAGTTTTATCGGTAATGTCCCATAACATAATCTTCCTGTACCAGAATAATGCACTTGAACGCATCAAAGCTTTGTGATTGGCCGGTGTGACTGTGTCGGGGCGTGGCTTGTGGGCAGTGGGCACTAGTTCGCTGACGTTGTCCGTGTCAACAGGAGTGACAGTCCGCACACACACAAGACCGCAATGGCAGAAGCAAAAAAGCCCCAAATATATCATTTTCACTCCGAGTGTCACTCCATGATTATTCCAATTCAAAGTCCATCTGTCTCATCTGCAATGCGAGCGTGGCTTTATCGAAGAAGGGTAATTTAGGAGCGGCATTTCAAAACAGTGCACAAACGCTACGAGACGGAACTCCCTCCTGATTCTGCCCTACGCTCCCAAAAGGGGAGGGGCCTGAAAGGACAGCTAAATGCACAGCAGTCAATTTCCACCAGGCCAACAACAAGAGCAAGGCTGCTACCAGAGCATCTTATCGTGTCAGTCACGTTCTTGAGAAACACATGAAGTCTTTCAAAGACGGCGAAGTTGTGAAAGAAGCATTCCTGGAGGCTGCCGACGCGCTTTTTGGGGACAGTAAAAATAACAGAAGCATTTCAACAGGTTTTTGATATAATAAAAACTCAAGTTAGATACCGTTATTAATCTGCAGTAAGTTTTAGTTTGTTTGAACTTATGCATTATAATTATTGTACAAAATGGTATAAGAATGCAAACATTAAGATCTGTTCTGTTTAAATTGATATAGTCTATTATCAATTCAGGTTAAGAAACTAGTGTTGCTTGCATCCTATTTTAAAGGCATTTATTTTTATATTCTACTAAAATGCAACAAAAAAAGAGTTTGATTCTATTAATGTTGTCTTTTTTATTGCACGTTGGCAGCAGATTCCTGTGAGCTTCAGATCTGAGTTTTCTTATTAGTAAGCCTCATTTATACTTTTGTAGCAACACTATTTTTATATAATGGCAAAGAAAGGAGTCTTTTCTTTTTGTCCTGTGTCACATGTGGCAGCACTGTTCAATGCTTCTTGAAAACATGACCCACTGTAGTGACGTGTGAATAAACTCCAACTCTGTATCAACAACACTGTTGTGTAGCTTCAGTTAAATACTTGTATGTGTGTAGATTAGAAAGAGGTAAGATAAAGGATCTGCAGTATTTTATGAAGTATTAATCATACAAAGGTCAGTTCTATACAAGTAGAAGTGTGTATTCACCTGGTAGCAGGCTGTCAGTAATGGCTACGCCTCTCTATTTGGACTGGTAGATCTCGGCAGACTGGCAACTTTAAAAGTAGCTCTCGGTTCAAAAAAGGTTGGGCACCCCTGCTCTACACTATAGCTCAGAAGTAAATGGTGTAGGCCTACTTTGACTCCACTACATTTAGGCCTATTTAATACCTTTAGTTACTTTACAGATGTGGATTAATGATGTGAAGAATAATCAAGTCTTAAATCAGACTTTAGTTCCACCTGGAGTAAATTCCTACAATCTGAGTACTTCTACTTTTACTCAAGTAAAACATCTGAGCAGGCACGTGCACACATAAGAGGCTTCTCAATACTCTGATTTCCCCTCCTCGACTCCTCGGTCCTCCGGCAGTGACCCGGAAATGGATTTTAGCGCTCAATGTTGAAGGCAGTGGCGGCGCCAGGGTATGGCTGGGGTAGGCTACAGCCATACCAAGAAATGGCTTAGCCCCACCATGAAAAATGATGTTAAAGTAAGCTAATTCAATTAAATAATAAGCAAAATGCTAAATGTTGAGAACACGGCTTGCGAAAATATACGGGTCGTGTCCACAACACACAAACTGATCCTGCTGTTACAATAAGTGCACGTTACTGATGCAATATGTTAAGATAAGTTTTACAGTTATGTAATACACTGTTGTTGGGGGGAGAGACCGCCCCTTCCATATGAGTGTGTGCGTACGGCGGGCATGGAAAAGTCATACTCAGTGCGGTGAGCGCTGGCTTTATTGCTACTGTATCCGTAGCGCCCCACGCAATAGTTGGGACTGTGTACTGACGTCAGTAAAAAAGGTTTGCCCCCCCAAGCGCAAATGTCAAACTCCGCCTATGCTTTATGCGTTAGAACAACTCCCAACCAGTTTGTTCATTTGCAAAGGAAATTCATCTTAAAACCTTTGTTCTTCTCAAAAGCAATGTGTTAAATGGCTCAAAGATAATATAGCATATCTGGAGGGTGCTCTTCTCACCGTAAGACATGGAGTTAAGAACCATTCAATATGTTTTTCTCCATCTCACAATCATGAGGTAATTGGACTGTTTGGGAAATAAATTAATTTAGCTTTGCATAACTGCCTCTGACAAAAAATAAATCATACAACAGAATATTTTGAATGCTGAAAAGATGTGCACTTCAAAATGATTCAAAAATACAGACGCATACACACGGTGCCCTCATGCGTACACAAGTTGAAGTATTTGGCTCTACTAAAACGCCCTGAACATAAGGCATTGTGAATCAGAACGGACGGTTTACTAAAACATACATCAAATTGTTCACAGGCCAAAACTTCCCCTTCTGTTGTGTATCGATGTAAATTGAGGAACTTACATCATACAGTGATTGTTTTTTTTTATGAACATAAATCCTTTCTCTTGTTTGCTCATTCTATTGCAAAACATACACAGCTCTCATTTAAAACCCAACAGGAACATACAGTACTGTGACACTCATACGCTTCCTATTGCCCCCTTTTCTACAGCTCCCAAACCAAAGCAGCAAATTGACAATAATGCATATAAAGCCCGGTGAAAAGAGAAAGTTTCACAGTGTAGTACACCACAGTCTCAAATGCAATTAGCTGAAATGTAACTCGACATGCTTTGGAGTCTTAAGAGACAGAGCAGCAGCAAGATGAAAACAAAAAGACTGGCTTAATGTTGGATTTCCGTTTTCTGTTGAAACTTGCAGATAGTTAACAAATATAAAAGGAGGGCTTACTATTTCCTGCAGTTGATACAATGAATGATATTTACCAATAAAGAATGACAATATTACTCATGTCAGACAAAGATATGTTTGAAAATGACTTATATATATATATGGTATAAGTCCAAATCTGCTAACATATATTATATATATATATGTTAGCAGATTTAGACATACCTTTTGTCTCTCTGCAGCAGAAAGGTGACTATTCTCAGCAGTTCAAGTTTAGCCATTCATCACGGCGTTATTTATTAGATGCACACATGTCAAGAGACTTGAGGACAGAGAGAGAAGGGGCGACTTCCAACGGTCTTATACCCCACGTAGTGACATCACAATCATGTGCTACATAAACAATATGGTACACAGTATTACATGGAGTCATACAATATACATGTCTATGTTATACCTCAACAATATATTTATCGTAATTCAAATATGAACGTCAAAAGTCGGAATATGCCAATCTTTTTTTCTTATTATCTTATTTGCTAAACGTTCTTGTATAATAATATGCATGTATTGTATTATTCTACTACGTCTATTTATTAATGTTCAGCAATAACCACGTTTTCCCAGTACATCCATGGGACTGACGTTCTTAGGTGGGGTGATTCCGCTTTGAACAGGAATTGTGTTAGCCAGTGTTATTGTTTTCCATGTGCTCAATAAAGTTTATTTAAAAAACATTCTAAAGAATTCAACCAATCAGAAGTGGACCCACTTGCCTTTTCATCCAATCAGATTCCCCAGCAATTGCCCGCGTAAGATATATAACTAGCCCCGCCAAGAAAAAAAGACACCTGTTACTTCTTACCCTGGACACGGAAAGGCCTGCTGTGAGAGATAACTTTGCCTTTTCCTCTTCTTTATCGAACCCTCTGTCTTCACATCTTCAGAAAAATGGTGAGTACGATAGTAAAGGTTTTCTCCTCTTAGAGGATGTGTATTTAACCAAATGCAGCGCTCTGAACGTGTGTCATCGTGCGAAAACGTAACCAGCTTAACGTTTTTTAACCGCTTACTCTAGAACAGTGGTTCCCAAACGGTGTGCCGCGGCACACTGGTGTGCCGTGAGGCAAGTCCGGGTGTGCCGTGGGATTTTGTGAAAACCATACGTTATTATTGCAATATACAACTACACAAAAATAATTATTTTTTAATTTACTATATCAGTACTTTGTAGGTTTATATGTACGTAATCTGCGCGACTTGCGCGTCCACATCTCCACGTGCAGTGTTGCATAAACATGGCTGAGTCAGCGATAACTTTCGAGTGGTGGAGGTATGCCCATTACTTTGAGTCCGTCCGAAGAATAGACAGGAAGTGACGGTGAGGTGCAAACTGTGTCCAGGCCAGAAGCTGTTATCCACTGCTGGAAACACCACGTGGTCAAACCTCAACAACACCTGCAAAGAACACGCTAAGGTGAAGCTACCGCACACGCTATTTGTTGTCTGTTTTTCTTCTCTGTCTTCCGGTTGTTGCCTGTTTTGAATGACGAATACACACTACCGCCGCCTGCTGGTAAGGAAAGTTATTGCCACTCACGCATGCGCAGTTCGTACGTGCTCGAGTAAAGTAACGAGTAAAATAACGAGTTATTTTGTGTAGATAATAACGAAGTAGTGTAATATATTACTTTTTTTAAAAAAAAAGTAATATGTAATATATTAAAA